GTAATTACTATTAATAATTATAATAACAATAATTTTTTAAATTCAATTTGAGTTTTTTTAATAATTTTTTTTAATCCCATAACCCATCTTCTCTAAGAGCGGTAGAATAGATATCGTTAATGTATAATTATTACATTCACACCGTGCTTAGTTTCCCACAAAAATATACGAAACTTCGTTACTCATATCAACTAATGGTGTAGAAAAATATTTAAAAAAAACTCGGTCCATCAGAATTTGCTCATGTTGCAGACACCTACACGCCCCCGTCATCGACAGTGACCAAGAGTGTGGGTGATGACTTGACCTGGGAGGGCATACCTCAGACAGTGACTGTGAATCGACTTCCCCGCGTTCCGGAAATGCTGAACTTGTCCCTAGGACCTCTTTCTGATGAACACGCGGGCATCTATGGCTTTCGCGGCACCAAGGCGGCCGACGAGTCTTATGTGCGACTCATCGTGAGAAGTGAGGAAATATTCAAAAAGCAGTTTACATCTTTTATCTGAAATGAGTGAAATAACATTGATAAGCCTCCAAACAGTTGTCGTTACTAGCATCTGTCATAACAGGACTCTGCTATACTTGCCATGTTCACAACAGATCTCATTATTTCGTAGAAGCTTTCGTCATTTAGAATTGGACAGAACTGCCATCAGCCATTCCCACCACAACCAAACTTCTCCCATTCAATTTTTTAATCTACTACTGATTTAACGGTGATCATAATGAATAACTAGAGAAATTAAAGGAGCTTGAAGCATAATAATATCTGAAAAAGATATTAACACCTAACTAGTCTTTTTGTGGCATCGAAATGCACACTAGTGGCAACAGACGAGAGAATAGTAGAAGTTGTTGCCAAGTATATGAACTTACTTGCGGGTAACACTATTAACTTGTAAACAATATTACTATTGGCTATAATTGTCTTAGTGTTCAGTACATGCCCCTTATAGATTGAGTGTTAAATCGGCTGTTGAAGTAACGTCGTGGCGTCGCAGCCACAGTTAATGCTGTAGACACACGACACATGTTATTTACCACTAGCTAGTACAGACGACTGATAAAAAAAAGCAGAGGAGACGTGGTCAGCGTCAGTATGTGGGCCCATTATCGTATTTTAATATAAGTTGACAGGAGCATAGCATCAGGTTACAGGCATCGCTAATTTTTATTCGTCAGGTTAAAGGCATTATGGTATGACTAAAGAAATACGATTTGAAAAGCAGAAAAGTAAGCCAAAAATATCAAAATTTACTGCATAACTAGGGTAAGCAAGCTAACTTACTTCTTCTTCACAATCACAATTTTGATTCCCATCAAAACTTATTAACGTTTTGAATAAACTGTTAAATACAGGCATAGCTCAAATATCTATAAACAATGACACGATACCCAGTTCACAAGCAAAATATATGTGCATCTTACAGTCCAGAAATGCAACAGTGACTTGAAAAACTGAAAAGCAGGGAAATACAGGCGCCTTCAGTCGGCTAGCACTGCATGATATCTGGCTTGTGACGCGTTTGATATGCAATGCCAATTGAGGGAGGTATAATTTAGCCGGACAACCTATACTGCTTTGTGGAGAATTTACTCATTATCACTAACCTTCACTGATATTATCATCACTCATTAACCATCGCTACCTCCAAAAATCATCACTCATTAACTATCATGATCACTAACGATCATTAACGATCACTATCACTATAACCATCACTATTACTAACCTTCACTGATACTATCATCACTCATTAACCATCGCTACCTCTAAAAATCATCACTCATTAACTATCACGATCACTAACGATCATTTTCACTAACCATAAATATCACTAACTTTCACTGATACTATCATCACTCATTAACCATCGTTACCTCAAAAAATCATCACTCATTAACCATCGCTACCACTAACGATCATTATCACTAACCATCACTATCACTAACCATCACTATCACTAACCATCACTATCACTAACCATCACTATCACTAACCATCACTATCACTAACCATCACTATCACTAACCATCACTATCACTAACCATCACTATCACTAACCATCACTATCACTAACCATCACTATCACTAACCATCACTATCACTAACCATCACTATCACTAACCATCACTATCACTAACCATCACTATCACTAACCATCACTATCACTAACCATCACTATCACTAACCATCACTATCACTAACCATCACTATCACTAACCATCACTATCACTAACCATCACTATCACTAACCATCACTATCACTAACCATCACTATCACTAACCATCACTATCACTAACCATCACTATCACTAACCATCACTATCACTAACCATCACTATCACTAACCATCACTATCACTAACCATCACTATCACTAACCATCACTATCACTAACCATCACTATCACTAACCATCACTATCACTAACCATCACTATCACTAACCATCACTATCACTAACCATCACTATCACTAACCATCACTATCACTAACCATCACTATCACTAACCATCACTATCACTAACCATCACTATCACTANAAAAACTGGTCCTTAATCTGTCTCTTATACACATCTTCCGGTGTGTGACGCACGCATACCTGCAGTAATACTTCGCATAGTTTGTTGTACATTGTTTCGGCGTTTAATTCCAGGAACTCAGATCTCCAGTCAATTTCGAGGAGTTCGTTCCCCATGGCCTCCCAGTCTGTTCTTCGATGATGAAAGTTTAGCCCAGCTAGCCCCTCTCGAGGTGTAGGTCTTGGCTGGGTTCCCCTCTCAATTCTCAACAAAGGCTGTGGCTCACCTCTTCTCTGTTCATCAAGTTTAACATAATTTGGTGCATTAAAAAATGAATGAATTTCTTTCGAAACCCAGTGCTTCATCTTCCGTTGTACGTTAGTTTATAATTCAGAAACAGCGAATTTATAGAGAGGTACAGTCTCAACTGTTGACTTAGTTACTCGATAATTATTAGTAATTGCTGATTGACTATATAGTTTTAGCTGTTGAATTACCAGCTCGATATTTATTCGGAATTACTCATTTATTATATAGTTTTAACTGCATTTATTAGAAATTACTGATTATTTATGTGGTTTAACTTGATGTTCGAGATCAATTACTGTCACTCAGCTCTAGATAAATTTGCACGAGTAAGAAGGCAAATCTTCCGAGTTCCTGAGCTTTTGAAAATATTCATCGTAGAACATTTCTCTTCGTATCTTCATTTCAGTTTTCTTGGGTTATTCAATATGTCATCTAGAGCCAATTCTTCGACAATTTAATTCCTGCACGGTTAACGGTGAAATAATAATTGTTAAACCCGATCAGATGCAATTGAGTAATTTGAGAATGAACGCGTAAAATAATTCACACATCTCTTGCATATTTTTCTTTGATAAAATCACACACACTTTTGACTCTGAAATTTGTGGAACGTTTTGTAATGCGGTACTCTTCGAAAATCGTTAAAACTGTGGTGAAATTGTCTTTTCTAACAGGAGTCTTTGTATTATGTCCCATTTACTCAGTTAAAATTCCAATGAAATGATGGTGTAAATAAATCAATTTTCATCGAATGCGAAATTAAATTTGACATTGATGATGTTCATCATCATTAAATAATTCTGTTTAATTTCTCGGAGGTTGCCCGAAGCATCGCTTTGGCATGGACTGTGCCCAGTGGTGCCCGGACTGCCTCAACTCTGGGGAATGTCATCCCCGCTCTGGGGAATGCTGCACCTGCGCTGGTCATCCACGCCGTCTTGCGCGGGGCTCACCTTCTGCATCCACGACCCGAAGGGCTGCTCCTGCCTGCCTGGATACCAGGCGCCCAACTGCGACTCTGGTCAGGGTGATACGGAGAGAGCAGATGCATTTAATTTTGATTTGCATTCTGTCTTTTAAAGAAATTTGGACTGAGGACAAATATTTGATGCTCAACTGCATCATTGGGCTGAAGAGCATCCTCTTGAATAACTGAATCTAATTTGTTTTCCTTCAAAGGCATGAAAATAATGTGATGTTGAAGTAATGTTTGTTGCCTAACTGCAGGTTTAGCAATTACACCAAGTCGAAATAATTTGGAACCAAAGCTGAAGGGGAATCGATAAAAGCTCAAAGTTTCTCCCCGAATATATGTCACTAGAGTATAATTCACAAGAAATACTAATAAGTGCTTAAAATTTTTTCGCAGTTATGCCAATCACGCCTGAAAACGATAGATTTGGTTCAGAAACAAGTTTAAATATATGTTTTGAATTTCTTCATCCCGATTATTTGTATTCAATTTACCACCAACACGTTTAGATCTCGGGAATCGTTAGGTCAAATTTGGTCATTTGGCGTACTTAAGTGTCCGGTGTCAATATTACGTCTCATTCTAATCATTAAAATTGAGACGCCTGATTTAGCATGAATATATATCAACCAATTTTCAACCTGATTGAATATTAACAACCTATTTTCATGTTCAGAATCCCTTAACTGTTTTATTAAATCGTACATAATATGATGCCTAGCGAGTAAAAATTTACAAGACATATTGTATTATGTTTGCGGACAAAATACGATGGTGCCTCATCGATAAAAAATCGCTCCGAAAATTGTTAAAAATCAACGAATTGTAAATTGGTTGCCTTTCAGCAACCAATACAAACCACTTACTTCTGACGCAGCCACATTCAGCTTGTCATAAATACAAACATACAACTTAACATTAATACGAGACTTTTACGTAACGCAAATATGCTACAATTTTGTTTTTCCCAATGAAACGAACGCAGAATTTTTAATTCATTTCCCCCTACATTTTTCTAACATTCTACGACACACTCATTTTTCCCTTCTTGGGATAGATGTAACTATTTTCAATTCAAGATCCTAAAGTGGTAGGATGATGTATGAACCCCAACACAGAGTGTCCCCCTGGGCGCTACGGCCCCGACTGCGCGCTGTCCTGCCGCTACTGCAAGGACGGGGTCTGCGATGCCGGCGACGGCAGATGCACGCACGGCTGCCTGGACCCTGCGCTCTGCGATGCAAGTTCGTGTCTATAGTACAAGTTCAAGTAATTTATTCGTTTGTAAAGAGTAATTTGTCCTCCTGATTAGAAATAATGGAGTTGTCGGTTCTCAAGTTCTACCAGTGCCTTATTTTACACATTGAAGAAAGATTTTATACGTATATGCAGGAGAGAATGTTATCGTCTGCAGAAAATTGCCAACAATATCAGTTGTAAATTATCCAGCCCCTGATGTCTAGCCATGTGAGCGTTGGTAATAAATAATTGTGAAATACTCCGAATGAGCACATATAAAGAATGAGGAAATAATAATTAAAATAACCACTGAGATTTTACCTCGAGCGTCACTTCCGAGTCTGGACATGCCCCCAGTAGCCCGCAAATCCCTGTACTCATAGGGTGCGTTCCAACGTCCGTGGAAGCTGTACCTATCTTGCGTCTTTTGCCTCTCGTCCTTGAGAAAGAAATTCTAATATTGCTCTACGAAACCTATTGCTATTATATTTAACATTCATACATAAATATCCAGACAGAACATAGAGTGAGATAGATGAAAGAATATAAAAAATATGAAGCCTTACAAAAATATTCTTGTAATCAATATACTTTGAGCGACTCGTTTCAGATAACACATTTCTAAATGCTAATCGTAGAAATTATTTTCGATTTAAAACGCCAGAAAATTTCATAAGTTAATAAAATTAAATCATTTATAGGATTTATTGTAATTACTCGGCCCTCGGCCCTGACATACAAGACATCATGTCAAACTAATCTAGTATTTTAAATTTCTCGTTATTTTTGCACATTTAATAAAAAATGTTCCACATGCTTTGCGCCGCTAGGTAGCCGCCCTCTGAACTTGCCGCGGTTCAGGGCCCCAGCCGAGCTCAGCTGCAGCAACACCGCCTGCGCCGTGGCGCTGCGGGCCTGGTCGCCCCGCGACGACGAAGGGACGCTGGAGCCTGGCAACCATGTTACGGGGTGAGGCTGATGTGTAGACCAAAGGCCATTTATAAAAGAACTTTCATATTACCCCGCGAATAAAAAAGTTACAAAAATTACCTGTAGTCAATGTAGGATGTTCTGAGATTTTTTCCATGTGTTTGATTTAATTGTAATGTGCAAGAGTTAATTGAAAATAACTTCCATATATCTGGAAATCTCTTTTCCTTGTATAAACAAAGGACGCTTTTTACTGCCTCATTCTTACTGAAACAATATCGAAATTATCCAGTGATTCATCAATACCAGTGTTGAGTGGCACATGCTGATTGAAGATTAACACTCATCAACATTGGCAGAAAATATTGTTTAAGCAGTTGTAAGGCATGATTGATTTTCAATTGACTGCAATGAATTACAATCAAAAGAAATGATAGGTAGTCTTATGTGATGGAGCAAAAATTCCTCACTTCTTCTTTCATCAGGTATCGCCTTCAGGTCAAGAGTTTAAGCAGTTCAGATGCCGAGTGGAAAACTCCTGCAATGTCTATTCACTCTACAGGTAGGGTCTTCAAGAAATTTGGTTTCTATAATGTATTAAAATTAACAATGCTGACTACAAGTCGTTTAAAAAAAAAATAGAATGTGCTTGATCTGCCGGGTTTTCATTTAACGTATTATAACCCTTATTTCGATATTTGTTCACCAAATGTGGAGATAACAAGTATTACGTAAGGTATACGACTAACGATATGAATATTGTAGTTGCATAAATGATTCAATTAATTCACTGTTTGTAGAAATGTTGGTTTATTTTAAGTAGCCATTTGTAATATTGCTAACGTCGTCCATATTTTATCTCGTCTTAAGGGAAGCAGATGTCACAGAAATTCATTCGAAGCTCATCCGTTACAGTGATAGAAAATTCTTCATAGGGCATCGTAAACATGAATTAAATTTGGAGTGGTTTTCATTTCAATTAATTTAGGTGGAATTTATTTGCTAAATTTCGAATTTCCATACAATTCCAAAAACATTGGTTAGAAGAGTGCTCATAGTTTAATAATATTTCAAACGAGTCTCCCTAGGACTCACATAACTTACGCCTGAGAATTATCATTGTAACTAAAGGGAAGATTGTCTTTGCTTCGAGAAGACCAAATCCACCCAAAAGTAGTTTTCAGGATCTGTTTGAATATGAAGTGGATATCTAGACCGCTCTTTGCGCAACGCATTTTATATCCGCATAGTAAAAAATTTTACGAACATAAATACACGAACCAAACATGTTAGACGCGAATTTAATGCAAAATTAGAACCTAACAGGATTTCCCTTTTATCGTCAAGCAGCTACGGCGGTAGCTATCCTTTACTCCACCGAGCAATTTCCATTAATAATTACTTTCTGGATAATAATTTCTGAATTGATGAAAGTCTGGATAGTGGTGTCTAGCATATAGCTGATATGGCATCAACTTAGAGAATATTTGTTAGTTCTGCCAGTTTGACATGAATATTCCAACTAATAATACTTGAGTGCTAGTGATTTCAGTAAAACTTCTATAACATTACCAACATTGTGTGTAAATCCCGTAGAATTTAAGTTCAACTTCGTCCCCGGCTGGCGGTACGCGGTGAGGGTTTTGGTCGACACCTCGAGAGGCTCGGCAGACACCGACTACAACCTCGACATCCGGCAAACTGAGGTGCAGATTGCCTGCCTCACTGAAGGTGAGTACGTGGATGACATTGAGGGAGCTGAGGTGCAGATTGCCTGCCTCACTGAAGGTGAGTACTTCGCCAGACAATTCCGTAATGCGACGGCCAATCTCTGATATTAAAGGACCAGTCGTTTCACCAAATGTGCCCGTCGTTTCTAATGCGACTGGCTCGAAACGATACCGAGCTGCCAACGCCGCGTATTTACGTCTCTTGCTATCCTCGGCCGCACGAGCCGCGAACCCAGCAGAAAAAGCCGAATTATTGACGTGCGACTCAGCAAAAGTGTCGACGCAGGTTGCATCCCAGCACAGACACCTCCCATTAGAAAACGGGAAAACCGTTAAGCCATCCGGTCTCTTACCATCCCCTCTGTCCACTCCAACGGGTTCAAGGCATGAAGGGACGCCAGCACCAACCAATGCAACCAAACTGAGTCGAAGCTCAAGGACGGCTGGATATTTTAGAGGGGAGGAGGGACTTAGGTTGTATATTTTCTCGACGGCACTTTGCTTTAACCACAAAGTTAATTATGTTCGATGTTTGAACCAAGAAACAACGTGCATTTGCCTTTAACTTATTGTAATAGAGCAAGTCAATCGTAGTATCAGTATTCGCGATCTCGTCGAATATCATGGGCACTGGGAGACGAATATCTCTAAACAGTTTTGTCTTCCTGAGCAGCAACCTACGGAAAACTCAACCTTTTCGAGGAAGACGTGACAATGAATCGCATCACTGTTGGTGGGGTGAGTACTCTCTATCAGTTTCGAAAATCTTAAATGAGTGAGTTTCACAGTTGATGCAGAATTTCACAAAATCGTTGACTATAGATTATTTGTCAAGTTCTACGCTCCAAGAACCTGGATATGATGTTGTATTTATTATTCAAATCTCTGTACATCCTGCTTCGTTCCACAGTAATGACCTCCACTAATATTTCTTTCCAGGTTAATTCGGCCACATGTAAAGGACCTTCTATTAATTTCTCCGTCAAAGAAGCCGTAACACAGACGCCTGTCATGCAGCAGGGCAGCCATGGACACCAGCTTTGGGCTGACGGCCTCACGCCCAACACCACCTACGTCTTCTCTGTTAACTCCGCCTCACTGATCGTCACGACTCTGCCTCGCCGTGAGAAACATGCCTCTGGGATTGGTCCATGATTCAAATCCTCAATATGATAACCAATTAACTACAACAAGGCCATTGAATTGACAGATAATCATCGCGTCAGGTGCTGCTTCACCTGCAATTATTTCCACTTTATCCGCACTTATATTAACCGCAATAAAGAATCACTCAGATGGTCAGAGTTCTATCCTATGGTCCTATTAAAGTGCCGGGGGGGAATGAGACACACTATGATAATCAATGACAATATTTTATGCAGTAAAGATCACATCCCGGGATTTTAAATGCTGTAATGACACGACGACACGAACTGGAGCAGCGCCACCGAGACGTAGCTCAACGGCCACGTCGATCGTAGCTTAGGTGGAGCAATAGCACTAACTTCCAAATTTGGTGGAGCAATAGCACTAACTTCCCACTCTTCCTACTAGTGACGGCTAATAGAGACTCCTCGGGAGCCTTACCCAAACCTTACAAAGACTTCTCAAGAAACACGTCAGAGGGCGTCATCGTTATCTCACAAAGAGAGAGAACCAAGGATTCGGAAGTTCAATGATATCTTGTCTAGTCAAGCTAGATTAATAGATTGCTTCTGACTATCAAAATATAAGCTGCTAAATCTTGGTTTCATCTGATTAAAATATGGTATTTAAAGCAACCTTGGAAACTCATTCATTTCTGAAGTTACTTTTCGCAATATCCGAATATTTCGGTATAACTTCACCAAATTGATCCCCAAATTTCGAACGGCGCTTGCTTCGAAACAATTTCACGCCTCCCACGTGTCCCAGTTGTTCTATATAGACCAGTCATGACCAATGACTAGTCCTGCATATTAATTTTCAATGTATTTTGATCACATTAAAGTTGTTGTTCATCAACAATGACGTATCATGAAATGATAATTAGAATTGAACAGTTTTATTATTCTACTAAGCTAAGCACTCGCATATTCAGGCGACCTAGACCTTGTGCCCAAATTTTTCCTGTTTGCCCTCGGTATTATTTTGATTACGCCGTAGCATAGCTTATGTTCAGGCTATTAAGTATGGGCATCTACTTCTTTTTGGGCATGCAAGGTACTTGCATCAATATAAGTAATGTGCTAATGTCTCTAGATTGCTTGAATCGCAAATTTACAAGGAATATAAAAGCGAAGAAAACTTCACAAAAATTTAACATATCTCTATTGAAAATGTTTCGGAGTCCAGCTCCATCATCAGTTCAAAAAATCCTGAACACAAATAGAATGAGAAGTTTAAAAATTTGGGATTCAAAGAAAAATCCAGAAATTAAAAACTATAAATTACAGGCAACAGGCAGAGTAATAAAGTAAATACGAAAATACCTATCTATTCACAATTTCTAGTGTATAAGAACTAATGGCTGCATTTGAACTAGACCTCTTTTTAAAAATATACAAGGATTCCAAAATACGCAGATCGGATGCAAGAGAAATATAGAAGCTAAAACCTTGAAGGCAGTGTCAGACACTGGAATGTTGCCCTGTTCGGCGTGAGTGCGCACAGCCTAATGAGGAGGGCGTTATAGTAACTGGCCAGTCCTAAAACTTCTCCCTCTATGCTCAGCTACCCTAGAGTAAAGATTGCGTAACGTCATGCCAACGTACGCAGATGTACATAGTGCACAACTAGATTTACAAATTAGGGACGTTCGCATATGAGAAGGAAGGATATCTTTGTACCTAAAAACGAACCTATTTTAGAATTATTCACCAGTAAAATACGAAGATTACTGTTCGGAAAGTATTTCATGAACAGATCTTTTGATTCTTTTGACATTACTTCGGACGCATGGCCGAAGTATGGGAGAGAACAGCAAACAACGTTTCTATTATCAGGCTCTGGAACAACTTCGCTGTATCGCTTAGACATGAATTTCTTAATTCGGGTATGTGAGAAATTCCTCATTTCTCACCGTAAATTTGTACACAGATTCTAGGTTGCCTTCGTTTTTCCGTCTTTCTGATTTCATTTGTAGAATAAGTAAGTATTCAAAGTCTGCGATTCTGTAGCAGGCTTTAGAAGTCATCGAGAGTCAGTATCACGTGGTTCAAGCATTCACTGAAAGTGAAAACTGAATTCAAATTCTTCACGCAATTTCTAGTTAAAGTGGAGTTCAATCATAAATAGTTTAAACGTGTCCTCCACTATCATCATAAATAGCTCTGCAAACTTTTCTGAAACCAAATGTTGAAGTATATTTTACATTTGCTTGGAACCTGTTCCTCTGTTCCTTAGTTTGTGTAAAAGTCGTTTAAGTTTCGTTTTGTATCATTTCCTTTGCCCTTCTAAATTCATTTGCTTATTCTGTTGGGAAGTTGGACTTTACTTAATTATTTTAATTTAAATTTAACGCTTAGATTTAAATACTAGTTCAATCAATCAATTAGTTACCAAGTGTTTTTTGCTCTGATGGTGCGGTATATTTATACTGTACCCGCGAAGTTCGCTATATGTATACTATAAAACCTTAAGATAAAGTCTATTTCGAAATTTCACACGCAGTTAAACCTTTTACAAATCTGTCTATTTTTCTCGTCCAACTTCCCACCCCTTCAACTGATTTCCACTAATTTCCGCAATAAATTCTTCCTACAAAAAGTGTCCAAACACAATGGGCAATAAAACCTCAGGTTGGTGGATCATTGAAGAATTTATCTCGGTTATCAGTTGTCAATATTGGGATATTTTGCCAAGTGTCTATTCTTAATATGAATCCATTTCTTCAACAGTATCCAATTGTCCCGATCCAGCGATTGGCCTGCTCATCTTTACTATTTATTCATGTCACCTTGTTTTCCAACGGATCACCTGCTACAGGCCCTCGAATGCTGAAACAATTTGCATTAAATTCAGCTGGAGGATCCGGCAGCCCAAACGGATCATTTCTCACTTTGAGAGGCTCTGGAATCTTCATCTCAAGATAACTCATCATCTGAACAAACTTAATGTCCTTCAAAACTTTGTTGGTTAAACCTAATTCCTAGAATTATGGTTTCTTTGTTTCTCCACTAAGCGATAAGATATTGCGCAAAAATTAAATTCAGAGTGCATGGCATGGAAAGTCGAGTAAAATCGGCCTAAGCAGCAGCTATTTTAGCTTCTGTTTTTTTTCGGTTGAAGTTGAACGGGCTTCAAAGACTATCACACCGCGGCTTTCGTATTTGCTCGACTTTCCATGCCATGCACTCTGAATTCGAATTTTTGCGCGATATCTTCTCGCTAAATGGATTTCTTTCTGGCTTGGTGTTTACCCAAATTAAGAAATTCATGTCTAAACAATACAGTGAAGTTATTCCAGAGCCTGATTATGGAAACGTTGTTACAACTCTTCTCTTCCATACTTCGGCCATGCGTACGAAGCTATAAAGAGAATTGAAAGATTTGTTTATGAAATACTTTCCGAAAATTAATCTTCATATTTTACTGGTGAATAATTTTGAAATAAGTTCGTTTTTAGGTACAAAGATATACTCCTTTTTCATATGCGATCGTCCCTAGTTTATAAATTTAGTTGTGCACGATGCGCATCTTCCTACGTTGGAATGACGTCATGCAATTTCTACTGTAGGGTCGCTGAGCATAAAGGGAGTAGTAATAGGACTGGGCAGTTACTATCGCACCCTCCTCATTCGGCTGTGCGCACTCACGCCGAACAGTGCAACGTTACAGTGTCCGACACTGACTTTAAGGTTTTAGATTCTATTTTTGTTGCATCCGATCTGGGCATTTTGTAATCCATGAACATTTTTAAGAGAGACCTAGTTTAAAAGGAGCCCTTAGATCTTATCCACTTGGAATTGTGAATAGATAGGTATTTACTTCATTACTCTGTCTTTTGCCTGTAAATTTAGTTTTTTAACTTCTGATTTTTTTAATCCCAACTTTATTAACTTATTGTTTTTGTTTTCTAGTTTTTTTAACTGATGATGGAGCTGGACTCCGAAAAGTTTTCAATAAAGATATATTGAATTTTTGTAGAGTTTTCTTCGTTTTTAAATTCCTAGTAATAAATGTGCTTATTACGTCTAACCACCAATAATATCCGTTTGTATGTTTGCACAAATTCGCAACCACCCATGTTTTATAAATGTTTGTATACCAATCATTCTAGTAATTTCATTTCTAATGACAAATAATACAGGTTGTTGATAGAGGCTTCAATTATTGTTGTTGTTGTTGTTCGCCCTCCCCGTCCCGCGACAAGTGCGGGACGGGGCCTACACCCATTCCTGTGGCCAGCCCAACCTCTCTCCCCAGCGCGCTAACAGCCCCGCCGCCTCGATGGGAGAGTCCCACAAAACCAGGGGCGACAAGGGCGTGACCAGTTCCGAGCAGCCGAACAGGTGGCAGGTGTTGTGATCATGTCTGAGACAGAGTGGACAAAGAGGGGACGGATGTGTGGCTGGATCTATCTTGTGTAGGTATTGGTGTAGTTAAAATCATTAATAAATGCTACTAAAATATTTACAAAAAATTATACACAGATGAAAATCACAGCTAACTCTATACCTAACATTCACTTTATTCATCAAATCCTATCAACACGAGACGTACCTTACACATCCACGGCACACACGATACTGAATCCGCTTTCTTAGTTTGGACAAGGTCACGTCTAACTTTTTCTAACGCAAAATCACAAATTCGTTATCAATTCAATCCCCAACACCGTGAGGGCCTTCACGGGCTTGTACCAAGGATGAAACCACTGTTGAAGCCAATTCACAAGGAGAAGCGTTTGGAGTTCGCCAGGAAGCACATCGATGCTACTCAAGCAGAGCTCAATAATATACTGTGGTAGACAAAGCTTGAACTTTTTGGTGTGAATGACAACCGCTTTGTATGGAGGAAATCTGGTGAAGCTCTGCTGGAAAAGAACACTCTACCTACTGTGAAGCATGGTGGTGGGTCCATCATGTTGTGGGGATGCTTTGCTGCTGCTGGTACTGGGAATATTTCTGTGATAGAGGGCATCATGAATTTTGAAGGATATCAACACATTTTAACTGATAATGTTAAGCAATCGGCAAGAAAACTTCATCTTGTACGGGCATTTGTCTTTCAACAGGATAACGACCCTAAGCACACAAGCAAATCAACACAAAAATATTTTGCTACACAGAAATTGAGAGTGTTGGAATGGCCTTCCCAAAGCCCAGATTTAAATCCAATTGAAAATTTATGGAGGGAACTCAATAGGCGTGTTCATAAAAGAAAACTCAGCAACATCGATGAATTGAAGACTTTTGCCATAGAAGAGGGCGCAAGATTCCTACTAAAACATGCCAACACCACGTAGAAGCATGCAAGAAGAGTCTGTCTGCTATCATTGCTGCCAAGGGAGGTCACACAAAGTATTAATTTAGAGTTGCCAACAATTTATATGTTGTTTTTCAAAATGTTGCCATTACTTTTGCTTTTGGTGTTTTTCTAATAAATATAAATACAACAAAGATCTAACGTTTTACTATCCGTTATGCACAGTAATTAGATGTTCTTTGATCAATTTAACTGAAAATAAATGCAGAAATTTCAATTAATGCTTCAAATTATATCATTTCTCGAATTAAATATATCCCAAAGCGTGTTGCCAATAAATATGCGCGTAACTGTTCTTGCATCAATCAATAGGAGAAATTCTCAAAATAATGTTGATTTTATTTTTTATAATGTCGTAGAATCAATTGTCCCCGAATATGCACTTATGTAACACAATCATTGTTCTCGTGTTTATAACAAAATCATAAATTATTCCCACGCCACAATTATTCCCAATTATGTCACAAACAAATTATTACCTCACGCCAGCCCCTACGGCCCCCCAATTGAGCTTGAGGCCGTCCGCCACCACCGCTGACGTCACTTGGACGTCGCAGCGAGCAGAGCGCTTCAACGTGTCTTGGGTGGTGAGAGTCAGGAGGTTGTGTTGTGTTCAGCCGAGTTGACTGCAGTCATTTGTCTTCCAAGACAATAGTATACTTAGCTTGTGAAATGCCGTAAAAAATCATCATGTGTGTGGAGTTTTGTTTGTTCTAAATTCTAGCCATAACACTGGCATCTACTCTCTGATGTTACAATGACATCAGATTATCTAATTCCATATAGGATGGAGATGAAGATTCCACACATGCTGGATCAATGTTTGACCGATTTCTCTGTTCAAGTATATAGACTATTTATAATGTATGTGTATGCGCATGTTTCGCTGGTTCGACAAGAATAACAGTTCTATCGTTGTCTTCCAGAACAAAAAGAATAAATTAGCCTCTCTGGAGTGACCGAAAGAGCTTAAACTCTTCCATAGTAAAAACAAATTCAGAGCAAGGCCGCGGTGCAGCGTGAGATCAGAAGTATGCAAATTCAATGGTGGAAAATTTGGGCTGGAGAAATCCAATTCTTTGCCAACAAGAACAACGCCAAACAATTCTTTAACGCCCTCAAAGCTGTCTACGGGCCATTGAAATCTGGTACCAACCCATTGCTGTCCTCAGATGGTGTCAGCCTCCTCAAAGGCAAAAAGGCAGAAACAACAGGTGAATATAACACTTCAGCCACTTCATCAACCGTTCTTACTCAGTAGATCAGGCGGCCTTTGACCAGATCCCTAAAATCGCATCATTGATCAACTTGTTGTACCTCCTACAATTGAAGAAGTCAAGAAAGCAATCAAGTAAGCGCGGGCAAGGCATCCGGCAAAGACGGATCTCAGCTGAAGTCACTTCAGTCATTCCAGGCGGTCTTGACCAGCATATGAGAGAAGGAGGCCAGGCCACCAAAGCTCAGACATGCCATCATTGTAGCTGCCTCAGAACCTGCCTGAATCACAGTGTAACTTCTGAATAAACCGCAGCAAAGTCGACATGGTCCACATGGTCAAGCAAATTCAGGAAAAACCCATCGAACAGAACTTAAGCGTCTATTTTGTCTTCATTGGCCTGGTTAAAGCTTTCGGCTCGGTAAACAAGGACGCTATGCGTGTGATCCTCTTCATGTGGGCTACCAACAAAATTGAGCAAACTGGTGTAGCTCTTGTCGACATTGCGGACGAGATCCTTTCTGATGGAAAGCCTGGTACTTTGGACGAGCCTACTCCAATGTAAGCCTGGCCCTATAAGCCTAAGCCAATGTAAGCCACCTCGTACTTTAGGACTTCAGGAAATGTGGTTGCACAAATAGACTTGAGTGCATAGAGACAACCGTCATTTTCGCTTTCAAAAGACTACCTATTTATGCATGTTTTACGCAGAGGACGAGAAGAGGTGGCTGCAGAGACAAACAACACGAAAATGTTCGACAGTTTCTAAGTCTGTACGAGCCCCGCGTGCAGCTGACGCAGCTGGAGGCGTACACGGAGTACGAGGTTTGCGTGCTCGCCTTCAACAGAGGCGGGAGCAGTGAGACGTGCGGGGCGCTGCTCACCCTGCCTAACAGCGGTGAGGGGTGCCGCCTTCACATTCACGGAATAACCACGTATAAATAAGCAGTGTGTTGGACACGTATAATCACTAGAAGAAAATAATTTCATGCTATTTGGAGATTTAAACATATTATTTAATCCTTCCATTGGATCTAGTTCAATTTTTCTAGAAAATAAGGGGAAGCGGACAAATCTGGGGCCTTCAGTCTTGCTTCTATAGTTGGATTCTTAATTTTGGAGTGCCGCTTCAATTAATGAAGGGGAGTTGGATGGGGTTCATCATTACTCTCTTGCGGTCCTTATTAAAAAATATTTTCATTCTCTCATTTGCTTCGAATTGTCACGTTATCAATGTGCCTAATATTTAATTTTTACCACAAAAAAATACCTGAAACATTTTCCGGGCTTACAATAAAATCATAATTTGTATCACTGTAAGCCAAGAAAGGTCAATTCTAGATTTATATCGATATGTGATTTATTTTTACAGCTCCCACCTTGCCAGTTACTGAACTGGAATGCCTGTATAACGAATGTTCCGTTCACGTCGGTGACGGCTGTTCACAATACAACGGACCCAACCTGACACTCGTGTGGACGTTTTCTGCAGCCCCGGCCTGCAACACTTCTGCCCGACATTCGCTGCGTTTTGAAGATAAATTATATAACTTTGGTACAAAAAGTTTCGACGCCGACAATCTAAATCTTCTGCCCGGAATAACTTATACCTTGAGCGTGTCTGTCAAGAACGACTATGGGGAGGGCCAGCCAGTGCACACCACATACGCCAGCCCGAATGACACCGGTGCGTGTGCCACACATCGGTTGAATTCTCAAAATTAATTTGTCTGCTAGGAAAGAACTTATTTTTTCTTTTCATCTTTCTTTTCCTATCTTATATATTTTAACTCACTCTACCTTAACTTTGTTATGTATTTCAACTAACTCCAACTTTAACTATCTTATATTACATATTTTAAATTTTACTTCATTTAACCAGGACTCATACACTCGTATAACCGATATTACAGCGAATTCACGGAATATGTTACGAGCCACGGGCTAGGTAAGACGTGATCGTGTTCAGAGTTCTACATAAATCTTGCTTGCGAATACTACGCGCTTTGTAGATCAATTCAAGCAATTATTGTAAACTTTTTTAATGCGTATGTCAAAGAAGCACTTAAACGGTTAGACTGCATTTATTATTGTTACTTGAAGTAGGCCCCTATGAGGCTAAATGATATTATTTGGCAAACGAAAAAAAAATGTTTCCTTTGTCCTCATCATCAGTTCCCGGGCCGGTGGAAGAGTTGACCTCGACTGCAACGTCCACTTCCGTCAGCCTGCGCTGGAGAAGACCTTGTCCCCCAAAGGCCCCCATCCTCAGTTACCGCGTCACTGCTGACGGTGTCGAGCTTATTCGTCAGTACTACTCTAAGTCGAAGTGTCTCGGTAACGCAGCTCACTTCTGCCGCACCTTCACAGGGTTGAAAGCTGATCAGACGTACAAATTTGAAGTAAGATAGAGTAGGGTAAATTAAATTAAAATATCTGTGATAACGTTTTAAATAAATCCTAAATAACTAGAGATTAACAATGAAAATTCCAGGAAAATTAGGCTTCGTAGTAGCTCGATAACTTGGTCTAGGCGGGGCATTGTATCAGATACTCTGGAAAACGTTAGCGAGTTTCATGTTTAAGGAAACTCTTCGAAATTAAATTAATTTCAAAATTATGTTGAAGCCTCAATTTACTTCAATTGTTTGTCAATGGGGCTTGCATGATGCCTTGAATTGCCTAGTTCAGATATTGCGTATCTGAACTTCATTCGCGCAGGATTATTGCATAATTCAAAAAGTATGTTGTTGATAATGCTATGCAGTCTATGTTGTCCTGCAGGTACAGAGCTGCAGACGCTCCTATTATAAGGATTGTTCTGCAGCGGAGACGATAAGCGTCAGGACACAAGAAACAGGTCAGGCGCTGTGGGCACAGGATCTCGGGCATCCTACCCACGGACTTTTTCGTTGCTAGACATTATCGAGGATTTTCTTCAATACCAATAATTACATACAATGTTAAAATAAATATTGTAATTGGTTACATTAGCACAATAACTTATAGTTCAATAATTAATTTAACACAATTAAACTTGGTTTAATGGTTGATTGAACATGGTTTGAAATTCAGTTAATTAATTGATATTGATTAAATTGATTGAAACTATATTACAACGTTAGTTCAGCCGATTATTCATTATAAAATCGTTGTGAATGATTGAATAAAATGTAATGAACAACAACATTGTTTAATGATAAAGCCGAATCATTATGCAGAATGTATCGATATTGTCATAGTTGCAGATAATAGACGTAGATTGTCATAGTTGCTTAGTTGCAGTTAATTTCTTCTACATTTAAATGAGCAATAGTTCTAGGACAGTTTTACGCTTTCTTATTATGGTTTCTAATTTATTTTTAATTTATTTAAATCTACATAAATAATGGATGAATAAATCATTGAATGCGTAATTCCGTTAATTGTCTAGTCATGTATTATCTGATATACATGAATTCAACTAAAATATTGTGATGATGAAGGTGAAATTATGATGAGTATCCCCTGAAAAACTTTCTGGTCATCAGTGAGCTAGTTCTGGTCATCATTAATGATCGTCATATATGACGATCATTTATAGGTTTTTGAGGATAAGTTTTGCCGTTGACTTTTTCTATAATTAACATATTAGGTTTATATTCTCCCACAAAATAGTTTTCTTGTACAACAGTTAATTAAAATTTTATCTGTCAACAGTAACACGAATGGTGACTGGTTTAAAATCATCTGCCGACATGATTAAGTTTATGCTACTTTACACTAATTGCAATTAATTACCTTCGCTAGTTGCAGCTCCTGAACCACCAACGATGACTCTGAAGAGATGGCCGAAGGGTTTAAGCATTTCGTTTACGTCGTCTTGGGCGATAACAAAACAATGTTTTATCGAAACTTTTCACGGCGTCGACCTCATATCTAACAATACTTACGACATCATCAACAACTGGCAGCACATCAACGTATCGGTGAGAATACATCGCGTTTTACCGTGCCATTTGCAGTACAAAAATATATGTTCTACTGATAAATAAAAAATTGGTGTTCACAATTTACGGATAGTGATTAAATAAGGATAATGATTCAGCTTTTGTCAACATAAATAGGCTACGTCATGTTTTGAATCAGCAGCGGACAAAGAAGCTTCGTCAAATTTATATAGTGAACTAGAGTAACGTTTCGGACGCTGGAACATTGATCAAATAACTTCCCTTGCGCGGTATGAGTTAAACTCTGATTTCTTCTTCCATTGCGCAGATGGACGATCTTCTTCCTAGTTCTGTGTACGACTTCTCGTCGTGGTGCTGCAACCACGTCGGCTGTTCACTGCGAACCAACGCCTCAGAAGCAACCGAGTTCGAGGCTCCGGTGGTGAGAGACAGGCTGCAAGTCGTGAGCATTTACGACACCAACGCAACCTTACGACTTCCCACCGTCGAAGCTGGAGACGCTCAGACGTAAGCAAGGAACAAGGGGTATTTGATATTTTTTTGTATCTTACGCGATCTTTCAATGAATTTTCATTCGTTTCGGGTCCCACTTTTCACTTTTTGTAGTTTGAATACAAAAATCAAATTTACATAATTATTTTATTTTAAATTCTATTCAGAAACGAAAAGTTCCTTGCAGGTAATTTCTGTAACCACTTAGTAACGTATTGACGTAACATTTGTACAAGTCTAGCTAAAAATTTTGAATATAACGGGTCGTATAATTTTGTTTTTTCCACAGGAATTTCACGATTATGGTTCATAATATCAGTGCTGGCTTGGAAGGAGTAAATTTTACTGCTGAATTTCACAAATGGCGGAGAGCGAATCATATGCAAATCAACCGTCGCCGCCGCAGTTCACGGCCTGGCTGTGCTGAGAACGCTCCTGTATTCATCGCTGGACACGTGGCTAAAGTAAGCATATCCCCGATTTCTTGGTACAATTGGTAATTATGGATAAATGAGCATGACAGCATTTGAATTAATGGTGAAGTGAATGCATGAACTTCAACAACTAGTGTATGACTTACTTACAATAAAGGTAATATACATTAAATATTTGGCGCGTGTCAGGGCACCTCAGAGTTCGTCTTGGGCTCGGGGGAGTCTGCCCCAGGCACCAGCAACTGCCCCCTGATTAAGGGCAACGCGTACGGCGTCGCCGTCATGATGTCAGCCCGTCTAAAACGTGAGCATTTATATGCGCTGGAAATATTGTGACGTCGCCGTCATGATGTCAGCCCGTCTAAAACGTGAGCATTTATATGCGCTGGAAATATTGTGAGACGCGCAGCACATGGAGAATGAATAAGCGTTTGAGATAGCGTGGTCTGAAACACTAAGAACAAGCATTCATATTTTTAAAATATTGTGATATTTGGCAAAGCTGCATCTTTATGGAAGCAGTCTAATTCAGTCATTTGGAGAGCTTATGTATTGTTCTTATCTCAGGAATTTATTCTGCCTGAGATCTTTTCTCTGACAATTCGTGTGTTGCATGAGTGTATAATCTAATGGTTTATTCATATATTGTCACAGACGAAGAAGAATTCGTCTTAGAAAAGTTAGACCGCCCAATCATCGCTGGCGGCAGCGGCGGGATGGCAGCAGGCGCTACCGTTGGCATCGCCATAGGCGTGTTGGTGATCCTCGCGCTGGTGATCGGTCTTCTGGTGTAAGTTCTTTTATTTTGGCATGGTAACTGCTACAGATCATACACGGTAAGAATGCATGGTATTACAGCTCAGTATTTTCCTCATTCCTGACTGAGATCGTTAGTTAAAGAATACCTAGTAATCCGATGAATCAATGCATAAATTAATGAATACTGGGTTATTTGTTAAACTCTACCCCAGGGTTGGCAATGATTAAATCAAAATGATTAAATCATGTGATTAAATCGCTTGATTTTTATAGAAAAATCATGATTTTTATTTTTTTTTATTTTTTCATATAATTAAATATATTGAGTGGCAGTCTTTAATTTATATTGAGGTATTGTTATTCATGGTTTAGTATAAATGTACTATGAATGACAAATTGGTATATAAACTTGTTGCCTTTAGTGTGTATTAGGTTCCAATAAATTGAATGTTTTTGGTACAGAGGCATCAATTGTGCAATACATTGTACGTAGCTAGCAGCTTAGCTAATTCTTATAAGGCAATAAGTAGTCTTTACCTATTTGACTACCTATTTGTTATATATTGATTACAATATAAAATTTAAATGTGTTAGCTAGCTTATACAGGGTGGGCAGAACTGATTGAACAGTTTTGAGGCGAAATAAAAGAGTAATGGAGGTACATAAAGGAAAAAATTTATTTTCCTCAAGATTTTTTTTTATTTTTGATTTATTTATTTATTCACACAGGAGCACACGTTACAATGAAAAAACAAAAGGAGACGTGAAATAGAATAGCAAGGCTTCCAGGTGAATGCCCATAAGCTAAAAAAGCTTCGCAGGCAAAACAATACGTACAAGACTCAATTTCAATGATAACAAGACGACGATTTGAACAAATAAGTAACAAATTTATAAAATTAGCAAAACCATTGACAAAAGCCTTAAAAACTGATAACCGTATGTCATAGCAGAAAAATCAGCAAAAAAGAGGCAATGTCAACATCACACTTAGTAAAACAGAGTACAACTATAAACATCTAGTCAAAATACCTAAAAACTTGCATAATAATCGAAGTCAAATTAATACTGTTTAAGGATAAAATCACGGTATTTTATTTTTAAAAACATTTTAGAGCAATCTAGTTTGAACTCATCGGGCAATTCGTTAAAATATTTGACACAATTAAAAACGGTACCGCTTTTTTCTATGTCTAAACGAACCGGTGGTAGGTTAAATCGAACGCCCCTGGTGTTGTGAGAATGCTGGGNACGCGAACTTTTTTCACAGGCGAAACAAACGGAAGCGCCATTTCAAAATAAAAGAACGTCACCAAGTGATCAGACAAGTCACAATCAATAACAGCTGATTCGGGATTGGATCCAAATGAAAAGTTGCACCAAATGTGGTCGAGTAACGAGTATGGGGTAATAGGATTCTGGGGAGAGATCCTAGTTGGTTTGGTTATGACTGGATAAAAATTACTACACAGGATGTCACTGATAAAATTGTTGGTTGAGCATAAATTTAGAGGGTTGTATAGATTTATATTAAAGTCCCCACAAAGAAATGCCTTACTAGTTTCCTTTATTTTTGAGAGAACCTCGGCTGTGAATAGTTCATTGAAAGTTCGTACGCTGTTAGAGGGCGGTCTATAAACGCAAAATATAGAAAGCTCAAATACAGGTAGGCTGACACTAAGACTCAGGAGTTCATACTCATTTTTCACCCAAGTGAAATCGCTATTAACCCTCGCGCTGAGCTTGTCGTCTACGTAGGCAGTTATGCCTCCTCCATGGCTGTTGCGAAAAATACTATACATAGAGTAACCAGGAATATTAAACAATTGATCAGAATTTGGACTCAGCCATGTTTCTGTTACTAAAATGATGGTAAATTTAAAATTCACTGAGCTAAGAAAAACCATAAAATGATCAAAATTTTTGCGAATACTCCTAATGTTAAAACACACCAAAGAAAAAGATTCATGGGTAAAACAACATTAGCATAACATACCACTTAAAATACTTATGTTTTGAAAACAATATCAGGAAGATGGGGTTTGTTAGCTGCATCACACTGTTGGAGTTGTTCTCGGAAGTTTTCTACAGCACGTTCACACATATGGCGAGGTATGGCCATAGCCTCTGCTGCAATAATCAATTCCCTTAGCTGTGGTAGGGTGTGATGGCGACATTTGAACACCCTTTCATTTAGATGTCCCCAAAGAAAGAAATCGCAAATGCTCAGATCGGGTGACCTCGCAGGCCACTGTAAATCGCCCCTCAGAGTCTGGGAACATGCACTTCAAAACATTGAGTGACATTCGGGCTGTGTGAGCTGTAGCCCCATCCTGCTGAAACCATGCACATGTCTCCCAATGCTTCATTTTCAACAATGTTTTCCATCATGGGCTGCAAGAAATTTTGCAACATTGCAGCAGAGCAAATGGAATTCACTGTTAGGGTTACTCCCTCCTCTGAGAACGACTCCAACAGTGTGTTGCAGCTAACGGCCCGCATCTTCCAGATATTGTTTTCAAAACATAAGTGCGGAATTCTAAATGGTATGTTATGCTAGCCTCTAGGATAACAAACTTTCTTCTTTATGTACCTCCATTACTCTTTTATTTTACCTCAAAACTGCTCAATTGGCTCTGCCCCACCCTGTATATTGAGAGGTTGAGATTGTATTGACCTTTTAGGCAATTGAAAAGATTTTCCACCCTAATAAGAGAATTCTAATTAAAATATTTAATTTCAATCTTTAAATATGTGAATTTAAAACTAGAAACAAAACAATTACAATTATAAGACTATTTATAAAATAATTAAATGCAGTGAATGGATATAAAATATTTGAATTGGGCACATGTTTATTTCAAACAGTGTTAGCTTTTCTCATAACTTAAGTCTCATTTGAAGTTGTATGAGGTTTGTTTGGTTATCGTTCAATTTATGTTTAGTATTGGTTTATTGGTCTGAATTAAATGGGAACAGTGCAGTCAGTCACTCAGTCACTACTAGTCAGTGTATATAGAGGGTAGAGTCTGGTAGATTTATAGGACATAAAACTGGTAGATCTATTGATAGTGCTGTGCACTGTGCTATCAGCTACCTATCTGTTATGTGACTCTTCAGTGGTTAGAAGATCTGCATTCCTGAAGTGTTTTTGTATATTGAAACCAGTTAAATGGTCAATATTTAGCTCATTACCTTGCTCCATACAAACTTTACAAAGCTAATGAATAGACTTTTCAATAATCATTTACCCAAAAATCCCTAAGTGGTAAACACCACCTGGCCTGTTGGCCATTATTGAAGGCAATAAGTGCCCTTTTTAGCCATCCATTATGATCCATATACTGTTATTGTTAGTAGGCTAATTGCAACATAAAAAATAACACATCAAAAAGACAAAAAAGCTGAAAAAATAAAAAAAATCAAATAAATCAAAAAATCATGAAAAAATTCATTGATTTTTTATTTTTTGTTTTTTTTTAATCAAAAAAATCGCCAACCCTGCTCTACCCGTAGTATACCTTTACCTGCTGCGTGCACACATACCTCACGCTCCAAATCAACTGTGCGTGTTTCAAGGATGCCACGTGGTGGGTAATGTTCTCTCCTTCCAGTTTCAGGTCAAGCTTCCAGAGGCGCAAAAAACTGCGTAGACTCCAAGTCCCTGTGCGGCCTCCGGTTCCCGACACCCTTCCGTTACATCGTACGTGCGCAAGACTCGCCTCATGCGATGCAGCAAAAATCTTACTATGCAGACCTATACAAGTCTAGAAGAGTTTGCTAGATGAGTTCGTTAAGACACACGTCGCAATACTACCGGTTGCAATGCTGCGGACCATGTTTTTTTGGGTCCTCTAATCAACTTTTCTTCAACCAGTTAAACCCAACCTTGAACAATATTCTCTTCAATGAATCCAATGACACAATTAAATATGCTGCTACACCTTCTTTAAACGTGTTATTTTACTCTTCTAAACGTGCTTCGAGCGTTTTAATCTCCCAACATCTGCACGGAAGTGCCAGAAATTGTTTTAATTAGCAACCTTTTACATACGAAATTTAAGACACGGTACCTTGCGTACCATTACATTGTACCATGCACATCTTTACGAGACGAATGCTGCCTTCTAAGTTTGTATCACGTTAGAGTTTCAATATTACGTTCGCATTTTCATCGAAATGGAATATGTCAACTAGGATTATAATCTGATGGTAGAATTACTTTGACCTCTCAGCGCGCGCCTTACTTACGATCGTTAACTGTTCAAGTTCGATTGACAGCATCACAAATTTAATGATCTCGCTGTACAGTGCGATATAACTTCTTGCAAATAACCTAATTACTTGTTGAGTATTTTTAGTTGTAGGATATTAGATAATCGAAGGGAGTTTGTTTTTATGCTCCGATAACTTGATCCACCTTGCCTTGTCTGAGAAAAGTATCGCAACATCGTAAAACATCGCAACCACTGGACAATGGCCGACATTGTAGCTGATCACTACGCACATCAAACTGAATATATTTAAAACTTATATTATGTGATAATAAATTATCAGATATGGAATATAATATAATATAATATAATATAATATAATAAATATTATATAATACGCCTAATAGGCAACTATGTCTTTCAGTTTATGATGACTTCTACGATTTCCGAGACGGGTGGGTTCCAGCAGACGACTTGCCTGTTTCTATGGCGAACATCGAAACTTTCCTCAACAAGAGCATCGGGTCGCTGTACATGAAGCACAAGTTCTCGGTGAGAATAAATGTCAATACTTTTTAGAATCATTAATGCAAAACAGGTTCATGCTGCCCATGATTTTTAGGATCTCTTGTACTTACGGACCGTTTCTTGTTCCCATATACCATATAGAAGCTGACTCTTGCCTCGATCAAAGAAAATTAAGTCGTGAGGTGATTGTGGTTATTCTTTTATCAGTACTATTTGTACTTCTAAATTTGTAATATTTCGTGCATATACGATTATACAATTGTTTGCTAATTATATTTTGAGCTTGTCTTTCGATGTCGCTCTTGAAAAAGGGGACCAACGAAAAGGGAATATAGTAACAAAAAATCGCAATGCCCAAACTGCCGTTGCCTGACCCATCAGTACAATGCATTTAAAACTATGTAGAACTGAAAATTACAAGCCCTCTCAAAAACACCAATACAAAACTCTTCTAATTTAATTATGCACTGAAGTTTTAGCTTCACAACATATGCGAATTATGTCATGGACCAGAGCTTACAGTCATGAGGCAATTTTCGCACTTAGTTACAAACCTAGCACCAACACTCCAAACAAATAAATAAACCCTACAAACAGAAATACCCCAAGAAAAAGAACCAATATTTACACAAAATTGGCGGAAGTTTGTAACCTGAACCGACAAAATGAGCATCATACAGAAACTGCAAATTTAAGCACCATTCAGAAAAACAGTTTATAATACTCGAATGATGCTTGATACTTTTATACAAAATCATAGCAGTGTAAAACAGTCCACTCTGAACCATCACCAACACCTACCTGTCAGATTTCACCACACTGCAAAGATTTTAAAATCAATATAACCTGCTTCCTATTAACACAAGAAAACATGCAGTTAACCGCATATCCCAAGTTTGCCTCCCATTCTATCATTACTTCTCCAAAGAACGATTCCTGGACGTAGCAATGAGTTTTGCCAGTGCTACAGAACTTTTGTGCACTGTTATGAGTGGTGTTAACATTGAAACTTTCTTGACGATTCCTTTTCGACGGAGCAGAGATTGAATTTTCTTTCCCGTCTTCGGGCGAAACCACATTTCTATCAATTTCTCAATTGTTATACTGCAGAATGAAGAACTCAATCTCTGTGACGATTTCTCAACTTTCAATGTCAGTATTACGTCATGATTAGATTTTACATCCGGAGTAGCGAACATAATTAATTTTAGGAACAGTGTAACGTCTCATCTGATTTCTCATGCAGAATTCCTGAGAGTTTAAGAGTCGTACCACAATTTTTACAACAAATCTCTATCTCTCGTTCCTGGATACCATGTGCATCTTATCGGCTTAGAATAACCCGTAATTGCAGGGTTGGGTTACGTTGTGTAGCGGCGAGTAACGAATTATAGAATTTCATAAAAAGGTACTCATTGGCTGGTTAAGCACATCAATCTGACTTGTATGCGGCTTGGAAAATCAGTGTACAATGTTGTGTCAATTGAACTTAATGGCATCGACTATTTTATTGGATGTTATTATTGAACAACTATCCAAGTAAAAACGTGTGTTTTCAAAAGTTCATTCGATTTATTTCTCTGCAATGCTTCGCCAATATATGTACCTCAGAGCATCCCGGTGAACCGCGACAAACCCACAAGAGCGGCAGCATTGGCCGGCAATCTAAAAAAGAACAGATACGGCAACAACCTACCTTGTGAGTATAGCTTTCTGGCGTTCATGTTTTTGAAAGTAGTTTTAAATTCGGAATACCAGATTATATCAACGTGACTTGTTTTGAATGAACATTTCATGAATATCATCACCAAGATTGTCTATTCTGCTCATTGGAATATACAAACTTGTTCTCAGACGACGACACGAGGGTGCACTTGCTGGAGATCGATGATTATGCCGCGTACATCAATCCGCACTCCGATTACATCAACGCCAGCCACATCACCGTAAGTTTCTCACAGCATTCAACGCCATTGTATTCTTACGTAACTTTACCTGAACAATGATGGCCACGGAGGAGTCAAGGTTCTTGATGAATATTCTCATAATTTCATTGTTAATTTCATCAACTAATCATAGCGAAATGTAAATGTCACTTCTTTTATGTGCTGAATGAGGTACATGATTGAAGTCAATGCTGGCTTGAAACCAAAAGAAGTTAACTGCAAGGTAAAGCATCACGTTCATGTGATGTGTAATATTCAAAATTTGCGACGATTCTGTACATTCTAAAAAAGAAAATTGATTGATTTCTACCAAGAGAGTTAAGTGTTTTGTAATTCTAATGAGTTTACATGGTTGAACTTGAAGCTTAGTTGCAAATATTTGAAATTTCTTGAATTTTCTCTCACCTGTCATCACCCCAGTTACCTTTAGGCCTGTTTGCGGTGCAGGCCCTTTTTGCCCCGGCAAGTCGTTTCAGCAAATCGCGGCTTTTTAGTTTAGCTGTGAGTCATGAGTGTGGATGTTTGCATTTTACTGTGTGCTACGTCTTGATAAAAATGAGTGCGTGTTGATGAATGTCCGTTTTCTGCTTCTAAAGTGGTTAATAGGACATTGTAGGCTGTTAAATGTTGTATGTTACGGATAATTGGCATTTGTACGCTTGAGTGTCATTACAGAAAGTTCATGAATTATTGCTGTGTGGCCATGGGTGCTGTGGCCGGCTTCATGTACAGTATAATATTGTTTGCTTTTGGCTAAGTGTACGAGTACAAGGTTTTCCATTGTTGTGTTGTAATTCATGATGATGTTTTAAAGGTTTAGTGCACAAACCAGTAGTTTAGTGCTGTATTTATAGTGCTGTTTGTGTTTTGATGCAATGGCAAGGTAGTGTATGTGGCTGCATGTTGATACGCAGGGGGCCGTCCCCCACCGTCGCTACATTGCCGCCCAAGGTACCCCAAAAGTATGTTGGTGTGGACTGAACAATTCATCAGTGGGTATGCAGATTTGAATGCATGCTGCGTGCGGTTCATTGTCACCGAGTGTAATATTTGTGGTAGATACACTCTAACGGACGCTTTTTACTCTTCACCAGTGCACGCCGTAGTCCACTGCAACTCGGGGGTTGGTCGTTCCGGGGCAGTGATCTACACCATGATCTGCTACGACCACCTACTGGCTTCCGGAAAACTGGACGTTATAGCAGTACTAGAAGGTGTGCTGCAGGACCGAGCTAGTCTTGTCGACAGCCCCCAACGCTTCCAACTCTGTCTCCAGCTGCTGGACGAGCTCTTGTTTGGTTTCAAAACTGTAACAAGCGAAAACGAATTCCATGGAAAATTTCTGCAGCTCCTGCAAGAATGCCCCGAATGGCTTGCAGGAGTTAATACTCTGCCATCATCGCTGACGTTTTCAGAAGCGCGTTCGAAACAGTACACCGCGTGCAACCGTTCACCCGAAGTTTTGCCGGCGGACAGATATCGAATCTCCATGCAGGTGAGCGTAATTATCAAACAATAAATCATCCAAGGCAAGAGAAAGATTTTCTCAGTACAAATGCTGCAGTGCTTCATTTTCCCATTTTTCGAACTTCCTTGAACAGTGTTGCTGACTCGGTGTCTCTTGCTCGTGTAACTTACTTATGCATTGTCATGCACTTGGGTTCACTATATACGATAATAATGATACGATTATGAATTTATTCAGCACTATTCCCTAATAACAGAACGCTATCGGACAATCTCAGTACATCAACGCAATACTACTCGATGGACTCCAGAAAGATCGAGCCTACATCGTCACGGAACATCCACTTCCAGGCCGTTTGGAGCATTTCTGGAACCTGGTGCTCACTCAAAAAACCCCGGCTGTTGTGGTGCTCAACGCCCGGTACGATGAGGTGAAGGCAGTCATTGTGTAACGTGCTGTGTTCTCAAGTTTCCAAGGAGACTCTGCAGGCCGTACTTTAGCAGGTTGTTGTATGTAGGATGGCAGGATATTCACATCAATGACTGGATGCGTTCCTTTTAGTGTTCGTAGCCTGAAGAAGCATTGAAGACCTTATTTGCACCTCGGACAGAACAAAAAATTGGGTTGTGTCCGTGATAACGCCCTTATTGGTGTAAGGTTCACTTTCAGAATTAAAAATAACCTATATATTTAAATTCGATCTGATCGAATAAAATTTTGTTATAACATCTAAATGAAATGCAAACAATTAGTTTGTATCCGCACTAAAATTCAAATTACAGGCGAAATAATGTTATCTGTTTTCACCGATGTTAAAGGCACAATACTCCAACGTCCACTGACTCTGAGTTCAACTTGATTTTGAGATTGATTCTGAGTCCATTGATTTTGAGTGTGACTTTTAATCCTTTAGACTCAGACCCTTAAATTGCGGTTTTTTCCAGTCAAGTCTCGAATGTATTTATCTCTTTCTTCTTCCTATGAATTATTCCAGCATACTCTGATAGAAGCAGTAGTTTTCATTTTGCTTATTTCAGAACTTCCCCGAGCTGCTCCCTCCAGTCGGCGCTACACTGAGAGCGGCGACGGTGGAGGTGAAGACGGTAGCCAAGATGGCCGCGGCTTCTCACCTCATTTGCCATCGCGTTTCTGTCGCAGTCGGCGCGGTGAGATCAATGCTTGTGTAATGGAACAATAACTCCACTGTTCGGCTGAATGTAATGGAGGAGAAAATATACGGTAGCAAGCCAAATTTAATCTTGTATCTTTGTTGGTAAACCATGGACCACTTGTTGTACCGTGATGTGGTATTGTATATATTGCTAATAACTTGGTATCTTGTACCGCTAAACCTTGTTCGGATTGCATGCATTAGAAATAAGTTGTACCGTTAGCCTATTCTATCACGCAAGAAAAATTTATCTCATATATTTGTAATCTTATTAATAGTTATGAAATAATATATTTATATCTATGTATTATTTGTTGAATTTACTGAAAAATTCTGCGCCTTGAAATAGAAAAACAAACTTTTAGCCAAAATGTAGCGTAAACTATATCACAAATCAAGATGGTCCTCAATTTCTGCCTCAGACATCAGCTGCAGTGTTAGTGTACGAGGTGATGGACTGGCCTCGCGGGATGGCCTGTCCTCTTGACGTCAGTTCCTTGGTCCGCCTTGCCGACACTTGCTGCAGCTCACCCAACAAGTCTGCAGGGCCCACTGTGCTCGTCTGCGGGTGAGGGCATGCAGTAGTATTCTTACCTCCACATTATTATTATATCAATAATTATTGTATGACGGAGGGAACGAATTAAGGTTCATACAGGAGGATAAAACACCCGCTATTATCTTTGATTCGCAAACAAAATGTAATGAAGGAAAAATGTCTTCATTGCAGGGATGGCGTGACTGCCTGTGGCCTGGCAGCGGGCGTCCTGAGCGTCGTCGACAGGCTGAAGGAGCAGCAGGACATCGACGTCTACAGGACCGCCGTCAAGCTGCGCCGCTACCGCCAGCAGTTCATCATCAATGAGGTGAATAACATAATTACCGGTAAATCAAGATTGATTATTAGCCTAACTTTTCTCCAAATAATTACATAAACCATACAAATTTAAAGCATTGGAGCATATAACAGCTAAGTCCAATATAAAATCAAAGATATGAACTGACAAAAAAGGTGACTGTTTCTATTATCATATCCCCAATTCCCCTGATCCTGCCCCCTTTATCAGGCGCAGCTGCAGTGCATGCTTCAGGCAGCCAGGACTTACCTCAGCGACTTCCGCGTGTACCAAAACTGACAGCAAAAACCCAGTGAGTTTGCGTCGTGGCACTCGGAATTTAAACGGTATGATTAATACTGTTTCAATTATGAATATTTATTCAGACGTAAATGATATTGAATAGTAAAATAATTTAGCCTATAAGTTCACTGATTATTGAGAATTTTCCTATCGTTTTTTGAGAATTCACATGGCTGGGATGTTGTGAAATAAAAAACGATTGATAGAGAGATTTGAAGATCCAGTTTTAGTCAAACGTACGAAATAGTTATTTAAATTTAAAGCTTATAAGCCATAGCATTCTCCGTACTGCCCGAGATCTGAGTTTTAAATCAAACAAACCATACAAAAAGTCACCTGTGGTGATGTTCAAAATTTTATTTGCCAATGAAATTTCACAATAAAATTAAGACAGTGCGAAGGAATCATCGAAATATCTGTATATGTTTCAGCCAAGGTGAAGTGAGTTTGACGTCACTGGAGGGCAACTTGACTTTCAAGAACTGGACTTTGCGACGGTCATCGTCTTCGCTGCTGGACGGGACTAAATTGTGCCGTCTTTACTGACTTGTAACTAAATTGTGCCCTATAGAGACTTGAAAGCTGTAACATTCGTTTCAAGTCTGTGCGACGCTTTTATTTTTTAAATTATTTGTTATTTGTTTGGCATAAATTGTATCCAGGTATATACACGTTTTGTTTACATGCTGAGATGCATATTAAAATTCAAGACAAATTCAAGAAACTAAACTAGTTTATAAATGCATTTATGCTCACTTTGCGTCACCGTATGTAGGCATAACGTCAAGTAGTTTCTATTTTAGACTGACAGACCATGAAGTGAGGAGTTACTGAACTGGATATATATCAATGCGTCTCTAGCATTCAACTGAATGAATTAAGAGATTTTAAAATTTTAGTTTACAATCTCGGTGCGTTAATTACCACTTTCGTTTCAAAAATTTCACACTTCTTGTATATTTAGAATTGAAGCATAGTTTGACTGCCACGTATGTTTACGTCGACTTCTTGAAATTGTAAATAGATAAGTTTGTCTGCTTTTTGCTACGTAATTCGCTTGCTAATTTAGATTCGACATATTTTTTGTTAATTTTAAATTCAATTGACCCTGAGTTCTAGAATTTTTGAAACTGATGACAGTGTAGCTGGACACTGAAGCGCTATAGAGGTATTGTCAATTTTTTATGGTATTTCCGTTGCCATTAAACTTTTTGTGAATTTGCGGCTCAAACAATCGGGAGACATTTATGCTTTTCTAACATTCATTCAATGATATAATCGTAATATGCTGTGTTCTTCGGAAGAAAATTATGCATGAAAATTGAAGAAATAGAATTTTAACGTTTTTTTTACTTTCTATCTCACTGATAACGGTTGATTTCATCGAGTCTAGTTTAATGACGCAGTTAACTTTGTTAGCGTTTTATTGTAACGTTTTCAGACCACTACTGGCCAATGCCAACACGGGGGCATACTGAGCAACGCCGGCTACAGGCCATTAGTCGTTGAAAAACTGCTGAAAAAATTGAAACTCGCTTTAAAAAATTTTTAAAATTTAGTTGTAATTCTATGTTTATTATTACTCAAAGTAACAATTCATGTTTTAAATGCGTGATTGTCATGAGACACAACACATTGCAGGTTGAGTGCGTTAATTGCACACTAAACATGACAGTGCGGAGGTAATTTAATCACTGTTAAAATGACATTGCCATAATCACAGTTATAAAATCGTTAACACGTAGCAGCAATGTTTTTCATAATTCTAGCGGCTTGCTCATTTATGTAAGTCGTTTTCCCAGTCGGTTTATTAATTTTCCAATGTATTTCATTTATTGAATGTCATTCTGATAATTTCTTGCGCCAGTTGAGCTCAAGAGCCTACATTGGGAACTCAAATCTACGGAATTAGAGACCAGTATTTAACTATGTCATTCACATGAACATTAGTTTTAAGGCGTTCGGGATTGTTTCAATAATTCAATAAACAATTAACATTTCAAACTTGTATTGAACCCCTTTCACATAAAAACAAAATAAGCTCGGGAAGAAATTTTGAAAATAAATAAGAATAAAAATATAATATTCTTATATTCTAAATAAGAATATAAGAATAAATAAGAAAATAAGCTTCATCGGGGAGAAATTTTGCCAATCAATATTTTATAATAACCATTAATCGTGCCTACTGCTGATCCGGAGCGCACGACAACGTCTGAGGCCAGTGGCGGCACCAGACGTTGGTGAGGTAAATGGAGCTATGATGATTATGAATGATATTAATAAGAACAGGTAGACCAGATTCAAATGCTGACAAAAATATCTTTATTGACTCTGTTTTCCCTGGTGAGAGTAAATGGATAATTTTCCTCAGAAATAGTCTGAGCTGGGGTTGCATTCTTCACTATAGTGAGGATAATAAAAATTATGAAAAGTTAATCCCACATAATGTTATTCTGGGCTTGCAAGTTAATTTATAATTATATTCTGCTTCACGTTTGTTTGCGAAATCTTGTTATCCGGGAAACATTACACAGAAAGTTTTCAAGGGATTCATCAGTACAGTTTTGTTCATCGCTGTGATCCTCGCAGTCTGCCTCACCGTCGCACACCACGACGGAAGGCAGGCAGCGCCCGTCGGCCTTGCACTCGAACTGCCAAGAACTGCAGCTGCCTGTTGATGGGCGACATAACAACTATAATTGACCGAATCATACTTGATGCAGAAAAATATGCGGCATTTACATCTCAATTCACTAGCATCAATTCAACATTAGAACACAAGTCACAGATGAAATCATCAGAATCAATATTCTATATTGCAAGGAATTGAGGCCGTCGTTGCTGTTGTCGCCGCAGTCGTCGTTGCCATCGCACACTAACCATTGCTCTTTGCAGACGCCATTATTGCACTTGAATTGCTCTGAAGTGCAGTTACCTGGGGGCACCCAATGAACATTTTACAGTAGAGCATATATAACTATACGCAATTCCTACACAAGATATTTCAAACCCAAACTCATTGATTTCAATCTAAAGGTAGAAACAAAGTCAGAACTATGAATATGCCTATTCAATCTTAGAGGAAATTGAGATTATCAGGCTTGAGCCAGAAAGATTTAGTTAGAAATTCGCATATTATTTCGTCGCTGTAGTCGCCGCAATCGTCGTTGCCATTGCATATCGCCCATTGCTCTTTGCATGCACCGTTATTGCACTAGAATTGCTCCGAAGTGCAGTTACCTGGTATAGAAAATATATTAAATACTATAATCTACTACTACTACTAAACCCAATAATCACTTTATTTATTCTGTGTATTAATATATCATGTGAGTATGGTAACCAAAATGTAAATACGAAACATAAATTTCTTTTAAAAGCAAAATAGAGAAAAATATTAAATTAGGTTATTTTCAGTGACAATTGCAGTGTAACCCGAGCAGTAGAGCTCGTCGCTTCCATCAAGGCAGTTGAAGACGCGGTTGCATAGGGCATAACTACTGAGACACATGCCACCATCCTTGCAGACGAACTGGTCTGTCGTGCAACTACCTGCTCACAACCCAACAATTGCATTAGAAGTAGTTGCAAAAATAAGGATGATCTTATAAATAGGGCAAACCATTATAATTTGCAAGGATTGGTAATCTACGTAACCCATTCAGTAGGCTGGGTTAAAAGAAAAAAAAACTAATAACAGCCGATGCTAAATAAGGTTTTTTTTCGTTTTCATCTAATGCATGGGTTTCATTGCTAGACGCAAGCTGTTATATGCATTTGGGCATAGATAACAAAAGAACTATGACAACGGAAAAATATGCGTATTAATTAATATATTACTGGAAATTTGGTTACTTGGGAGTGATTGGCTATTATCTAAACCCAAAATAATTTGTGCAAAAACTATTACTCTTTATACATAGCATTGAAGTTTTAATTCTGAGAACTCATGGCAGGCTAAAGCAACAGAGAAAGTTGCGGCAGAATAGCATAAAATTTTTTCAAACAGCGACAGGGGTCTTCTGTTTGAAGAATAAATTGCGGAGATATTCATATATTGACCTCAAAATCGATATTTCTTTATCTTAACTGCTGCGTCTTGATGGCATTTTCTTTATGGAAGGCTTGGTTTAAACCACACCTTTAATTTGTACAACTCAAATGGAACCGAGCAGAAAATTTTGAAATATTCCTCAATCTTAAGTTTCATATTTCTACAATTTCCTCTTGTAATATTAACATATATGCAATTTATAATATTAATTTCAATAGATTTACAAATTTATGCCTCACAGCACGTGCTGGAGGTGGGGCACGGCACCTCGTAAGTGCTGCAGGTGCCTGTACGGTTATTAATCTTAACTGTGAACATTATAATTAAATAAAGATTAAAAAATTATTTTAAAGGAATACTAGAAAAAACATTCGAAGGTTATTTAAAATATTACTGGCATGTAAAGACTAAATCCTTCAAAAAGGACGAACAATATTGACTGGGAAATGACATTACAAATATCAGCGTATTAGTACTTTGATTAAAAAGAACAATGAATGTCTCCAGCATTTTTTCGTGCTCTTTCACAGCAATCTTGTTAACACCATGTATCGATGTAAAATTACCGACATTTCTCTATCTGTTTTTGTACTGAACACACCTATTCGTAAATTGAGATGAAATGTGCCGTGCGATACGTGAAACCGTACCTGCATAAAATTGATCATTATTCTGATTACAAATAAAATCATTTTAAATTTAATGTTTTCGATATTTGAGTGAATTATGTTCAAAATCATTTCTATTATTTAAATAATGTGCTTTGATTTTATTTAATAAATTCAGAGGCCTCAGTTTTTTTAGATTTTTTGCGTTGCAATCTCAATGTGGAATTATCAAACATTCAATTGAATAACATTGAGTTTGGCATTCATTCATATTCATTCTCATGAATGAATCACAAAAATTCGTCTCACTGAGGCGTGAGAAGCGAGCTTCAGTGTGTTCTGGGTAACCATCGCGACTGTACCTGCCATAACACAGCCTGCTGGAATCCAAGATTTTCCTAATATCCCTTCTATTAAAATCTCATTTGTTTGCTTCTGTCAATATGATGGTCCGGTTGGGGATCGAGATTGAGGAGTTTATCTAACGAAGAAAATAACGGCATCATTTTAAAACCTAATGGTTTGAAAACCCAAACCTTAGGATATCTTGCCTAAGTGTAAAAACCAAAAAATTATATATCCCGCTTTACTCCCTCCTGTAGACTGGCCTATGCTTTTCTCACCTTTGCTGAGGTAAAACAGAGCCATTTTCTCCTATTGTTTTTTTTTTTTGAAAAAGAAAAACAGAATAAAGCTCTGTTCGGAAAATTTACGATCCGGGCTTCTGGAAATACTACTGCGAAGAAGCAGAACTTGCTCAGTCCATATAAGGCTGAGCCGCTGCTCTCGTAAGGCTTAATTGAGAAACTCTACCAGCGCGGTCGTGTCCAGTTCTCCTTACTTAATATGTTGCCTTATTTTCCTTAATTCATTAAATATGAGGTGCTTATTTGTTGTACAACTCATACTTAGTTAAATATTCAGTTTTGGGGTGCATGCGTTTTTCACTTATCATTTTTTTGAACACTTTGGCCGGCTCGTCAAATTGCCTATTTGCCTTGAAACCTTAAAGCCTTTAAACTTTAACTGTTAACCTCTAAACCTTAAACCTTAACATTATTAACTTGACTGGCCAAGGTGATCATTCTCTATGGTGACCTCTATTTATATTCGGAACTGCCGCGCGTTAATAAATCAATAATCATTACTTCAATTAATTTCTACGTCTAAAAGCACTACGCTATACATGTGCACTTAATCTTAATTGATTAAGGTGAGCCTTATTCTTTAATTAACGTAAATACTGAACTATTGAAATATCTGAATTATTTTTGCTTACTGATTCTGTTTTGATGATGCGCTCGTTTTTACCAGTATCTCCAGTAATCGTCAACATCTGCCAAATTAAGTTAAACCTGGACGCAGATTTCTGAATGGATTTCAACTGCCTCAAATATGAAGAACAGCCCAGAAAATCCGGAGCTTTGAATAAATCCTTAACAAAATGAATTTATTGATAATCACTTACTTATATCCTGCACAGCGCTTAGCTTTTGATCATTCCTAGAAGAGGATTAACTCCTGCGTAGGGAATATTTCCCTACAGCTCATCTGACTTTGAATAGGTCGCCAATCCAACAATGAGGAGAAAAACCAACACCCCTTGGCCAAAAAAGAGGATTAATAACCCTTTACAAAGGACAATGTCCATATCTAAAACGACCAACATTCCGCTCCCTAAATTTCTTACTAATCTCTCTAACAATGAGCTATCTTCTAACGAAATTAATTTACTATCGAAAGGCCTAAAATTAGGCCCCGATGGCCCTAATACTATAATAGGAATGTAAATAAATGCGTCTGGGATACTGAGTACCAAAAAAAAATATATTTTGATCTTCGGAAAGCAAAAAAAAAAAACAAAAAATGAAAAGAAATAATTATATTCTCTGATTGGGTTACAATGCTCGGTGCTTGAAGTTAAAAAGAAAGCTTCGGACGAAAGGCTACCTGTTTCTTGGTTGTGCCTTTTTGAAATTACGTCAGAAAACCCCCGAACACCAGGATCACCAACAGTAACAAGATGAAGGCAACGACAGCTTCCATTCCTCCGCTGCCGCCAGCGATGATTGGATGGTCTAAGTTTTCTAAGACGAATTCTTCTTCTTCTGTGACAATATAGGAATAAATAATTAGATTGTGCACCCATAGAACGCACGAATTGTCAGAAAAAAATAACTCTGGCAGAATAAATTCCTGATATATGGATATTACAGAAGATCTACAAATAACTGAATCAGATCGCTCCATAAAGAAGCAGTTTTGCCAGATATCACAATATTTTAAAAATATGAATGCCTGTTCTCAATGTTTCAGACCACGCTATCTCAACCGCTGAATTTTTCTCCATGTACTGAAAGCCTCACGATATTTCCAGCGCATATAAATGCTCATGTTTTAGACGGGCTGACATCATGACGGCGACGTCACAATATTTCCAGCGCATATAAATGCTCATCGAACAGCAAGTGAACGTCATCATAATGATTGGGGACTTCATCGAGGACAACGCAGTGAGTTGCCTTGCGTCTACAATGATTGTATTGGTACTGTTTGCATCTAAAATTGATTTGCTGCTTGTACAAATGTAGTTTTTCTGTCTTGCCATGAATGACGATTAAAGGCTAATATTTTCGTGCCTTAGAAATGATGGCCTTTGGTCTATGTTTCTTTTTTGTAATCCCATACATATGAACTCATTACGTTATTCATTAGATAATCAATTTCCAAGTTTGAGAACCGATAGAAGGACAGAAGTAGATAAAAAATTTAACTTAGGAAAAATTTGGATTTTCGTTAAGTAAACTCGTGACTTAATCGCCAATTTACTCATCAAAAAAAAAAAAAAACAGAAAAATTTTTCAACAATAATATTATGACATTAACTGCAATCCAAGTTGAGTATTTTTCATCTCTATGCTGTGTTAAACCCAATATGGTCGATGGCCATCGGAATACCATGACAGTTGGTCATTGTCTTTCCTGAAGCGACGCTGGCGATATTTCCATCAACACGAATTAACTGCAAATTTCCATCCAGGCAATCGTAAATGAAATAGCGAGTCTGTGGCCGTAATTGTTACTACCTAATAAGATACAAACGAAGTAAGCCTAAGTAGATAGTAGACCTAATTTCATCCCATTTAATTCCATGTGGTTCTGGAACATTAGGCATTTTGCCATAGACTCGAAGGATGCGTAACTAATCTACATGATCAAATCATAATGCAGAGTATAAATTTTAACGGTTTTCGTCTTCATCAGGAAAGCTGTGGCCAATACTTCAGTTATGACGGCGTGGTGATGCTTCAAGATCCGCCGGTATCTGTGATGGTCACGATGTTGTCTACCGAGACCACCTCGAGCTACAACGTCTCTCGCCTCCAGGTAAAGTTCAGACGCATCTCATTATTGTTCCTTGTGCAGTGAGGTAACGCCGTGTGACGGGAGACAAGTTAACAAATATATTTTAATGATAACACAGATTTCATTCAGTATTCTAATGGTTTTTGACCTACTGTTCCACTCACTGCGGGAATGATTCAATCTTCAAACAAGGCATTTTTAATTAGTTACCTTTCATTGCTTGAGTTTACTCCGAAACAAGAAGCGTCTGCAATTCAGTTCTATGTTTAAGATGCAACAATGTTCGCAACTTCAAGTTCAAGTAATAGATTGACCTTTCGATAACATTTGTAGACTCCTATTGTAACTTGAAAAGTAACAACTCATTTATTCACAACAGTGTAGCAATTTCTGTTCCCCTGCACCAGGTAAAGATGGAAGTGGAAGGCAAGTCTGTGCTGCGTGACGTCACTCACTACCACTACGCCGCGTGGCCGCAGCAAGGAGATCCATCCGATACACTCGCGCTCGCCAGCATGCTTCTGGACATTGCCTCCAGTCACCCCAAAAGTATGTTGGTGTGGACTGAACAATTCATCAGTGGGTATGCAGATTTGAATGCATGCTGCGTGCGGTTCATTGTCACCGAGTGTAATGTTTGTGGTAGATACACTTTAACGGACGCTTTTTACTTTTCACCAGTGCACGCCGTAGTCCACTGCAACTCGGGGGTTGGTCGTTCCGGCGCAGTGATCTACACCATGATCTGCTACGACCACCTACTGGCTTCCGGAAAACTGGACGTTATAGCAGTACTAGAAGGTGTGCTACAGGACCGAGCTAGTCTTGTCGACAGCCCCCAACGCTTCCAACTCTGTCTCCAGCTGCTGGACGAGCTCTTGTTTGGTTTCAAAACTTTAACAAGCGAAAACGAATTCCATGGAAAGTTTCTGCAGCTCCTGCATGAATGCCCCGAATGGCTTGCAGGAGTTAATACTCTGCCATCATCGCTGACGTTTTCAGAAGCGCGTTCGAAACAGTACACCGCGTGCAACCGTTCACCGGAAGTTTTGCCGGCGGACAGATATCGAATCACCATGCAGGTGAGCGTAGCTATCAAACATTAAATCGTCCAAGGCAGGAGAAAAATTTTCTCAGTACATATGCTGCAGTGCTTCATTTTCCTATTTTCAAACTTCCTTGAACAGTGTTGCTGTCTCGGTATCTCTTGCTCGAGTAACTCACTTATGCATTGTCAAGCTTTTAGGTTTAGGTAAGAAGTACACCTGTACTTCTTCACGGAAATTTTCAACACCTAAAGTGAGATAAGCTCTAAACGTAAAATGATATTATTGCTAATAATACACATACAATAATAATGATGATACGATAATGATTAATTCAGCACTATTCCCTAATAACAGAATGCTATCGGACAACCTCAGTACATCAACGCAATACTACTCGATGGACTCCAGAAAGATCGAGCCTACATCGTCACGGAACATCCTCTTCCAGGCCGTTTGGAGCATTTCTGGAACCTGGTGCTCACTCAAAAAACCCCGGCTGTTGTGGTGCTCAACGCGCGGTACGATGAGGTGAAGGCAGTCATTGTGTAACGTGCTGTGTTCTCCAAGTTTACAAGGAAACTCAGCAGGCCGTACTTTAGCAGGTTGTTGTATGCAGGATGGCAGGATATTCACATCAATGACTGGATGCGTTCCTTTCAGTGTGCGTAGCCTGAAGAAGCATTGAAGACCTTAATTGCACCTCGGACAGAACAAAAAATTGGGCTGTGTCCGTGATAACGCCCTTATTGGTGTAAGGTTTACTTTCAGAATTAAAAATAACCTATATATTTAAATTCGATCTGATCGAATAAAATTTTGTTATACCATCTAAATGAAATGCAAACAATTAGCTTGTATCCGCACTAAAATTCGAATTACTGGCGAAAAAATGTTATCTGTTGTCACCGATGTTAAAGGCACAATACTCCAACGTCCACTGACTCTGAGTTCGACTTGATTTTGAGATTGATTCTGAGTCCGTTGATTTTGAGTTCGACTTTTAATCCTTCAGACTCAGACCCTTAAATTGCGGTTTTTCCAGTCAAGTCTCTAATGTTTTTATCTCTTTTTTCTTCCTGTTCATTATTCCAACATACTCTGATAGAAGCAGTAGTTTTCATTTTGCTTATTTCAGAACTTCCCCGAGCTGCTCCCTCCAGTCGGCGCTACACTGAGAGCGGCGACGGTGGAGGTGAAGACGGTAGCCAAGATGGCCGCGGCTTCTCACCTCATTTGCCATCGCGTTTCTGTCGCAGTCGGCGCGGTGAGATCAATTCTTATCTAATGGAACAATAATACAACAGTTTGGCTAAATGTAGTGTTGGAGAAAAAAACACGGTAGCAAACCAAATTTTTTTTCTCTGTTGGTAAACCATGGACCACTTGTTGTACCGTGATGTGGTATTGTATATATTGCTAATAACTTGGTATCTTGTACCGCTAAACCTTGTTCGGATTGCATGCATTAGAAATAAGTTGTACCGTTAGCCTATTCTATCACGCAAGAAAAATTTATCTCATATATTTGTAATCTTATTAATAGTTATGAAATAATATATTTATATCTATGTATTATTTGTTGAATTTACTGAAAAATTCTGCGCCTTGAAATAGAAAAACAAACTTTTAGCCAAAATGTAGCGTAAACTATATCACAAATCAAGATGGTCCTCAATTTCTGCCTCAGACATCAGCTGCAGTGTTAGTGTACGAGGTGATGGACTGGCCTCGCGGGATGGCCTGTCCTCTTGACGTCAGTTCCTTGGTCCGCCTTGCCGACACTTGCTGCAGCTCACCCAACAAGTCTGCAGGGCCCACTGTGCTCGTCTGCGGGTGAGGGCATGCATTAGTATTCTTACCTTCACATTATTATTATATCAATAATTATTGTATGACGGAGGGAACGAATTAAGGTTCATACAGGAGGATAAAACACCCGCCATTATCTTTGATTCGCAAACAAAATGTAATGAAGGAAAAATGTCTTCATTGCAGGGATGGCGTGACTGCCTGTGGCCTGGCAGCGGGCGTCCTGAGCGTCGTCGACAGGCTGAAGGAGCGGCAGGACGTCGACGTCTACAGGACCGCCGTCAAGCGCCAGCAGTTCATCATCAATGAGGTGAATAACATAATTACCGGCAAATCAAAATTGATTATTTGCCTAACTTTTCTCCAAATAATTACAAAAACCATACAAATTTAAAGCATTGGGGCATACAAAAGCTATGTCCAATATAAAATCGATGATATGAACTGACAAAAAAGGTGACTGTTTCTATTATCACATCCCCAATTCCCCTGATCTTGCCCCCTTTATCAGGCGCAGCTGCAGTGCATGCTTCAGGCAGCCAGGACTTACCTCAGCGACTTCCGCGTGTACCAAAACTGACAGCGAAAACCCAGTAAGTTTGCGTCGTGGCACTCGGAATTTGAACGAAATGGAAAATACGTTGTAATTTTGAACATTTATTCAGACGTAAATGATATTGAATAGTAAAATAATTTCTAGTAATTTTTCTAGTAATTTCTAGTAATTTAGAAATTTAATTTCTAGTAATTTTTTTTTTTTTTTGAGAATTCACATGGCTGGGATGTTGTGAAATAAAAAACGATTGATAGAGAGATTTGAAGATCCAGTTGTAGTCAAACGTACGAAATAGTTATTTAAATTTAAAGCTTATAAGCCATAGCATTCTCCGTACTGCCCGAGATCTGAGTTTTAAATCAAACAAACCATACAAAAAGTCACCTGTGGTGATGTTCAAAATTTTATTTGCCAATGAAATTTGACAATAAAATTAAGACAGTGCGAAGGAATCATCGAAATATCTGTATATGTTTCAGCCAAGGTGGAGAGGGATTGACGTCACTGGAGGGCAACTTGACTTTCAAGAACTGGGCTTTGCGACGGTCATCGTCTTCGTTGCTGGACGGGACTAAATTGTGCCGTCTTTCCTGGGCCCATACTTTCAAAAAAAGTTAAGAGATCGTAAGTCCATCAGCCAATTACTGACGGCCACGCAAGCAAAATCCGCCAATCAGAGACAAGAAAATTGAGCGTAAGTACTTACGTTCACTTAGCGAGTTTTGAAAGTATGGCCCCTGGCTTGTAACTAAATTGTGCCCTATAGAGACTTGACAGCTGTAACATTCGTTTCAAGTCTGTGCGACGCTTTTATTTGTAAAATTATTTTTTATTTGTTTGGCGTAAATTGTATCCAAGTATATACACGTTTTGTTTACATGCTGAGATGCATATTAAAATTCAAGACAAATTCAAGAAACTAAACTGGTTTATAAATGCATTTATGCTCGATATGCGCCACCGTATGTAGGCATAAAGTCAAGTAGTTTCTATTTTAGACTGACGGACCATGAAGTGAGGAGTTACTGAACTGGATATATATCAATGCGTACCTAGCATGCAACTGAATGCATTAGATTTTAAATTAATAGATTAAATTTTAATTTACACTCGCAATGCGTTAATTTCCACTTTCGTTTTGCAAATTTCATGCTTCTTGTATATTTTTAATCAAAGCCTAGTTTGACTGCCACTTTTGTTTATGTCGACTTCTTGAAATTGTAAATAGATAAGTTTGTCTGCTTTTTGCTACGGAATTCGCTTGCTAATTTAGATTTAACATATGTTTTGCCGATTTTGGATTCAATTGTCCCTGAATTCTAGAATTTTTAAACTAATGACGTTGTATCTGGACATTGAAGCGCCATAGAGGTATTGTGAATTTTTTATGGTATTTCCGTTGCCATTAAACTTTTTGCGAATTTGCGGCCCAAACAACAGGGAGAAATTTATACTTTTTAACATTCATTCAATGAAAGAATCGTAATATGCTGTGTTCTTCGGAAGAAAATTATGCATTGAAATTGAAGAAATCGAATAAAGAAGTGATTTTCTTGACTTTCTTTCTCACTGATAACGATTGATATCATTGAGTCTAGTTTAGTGACGCAGTTAACTTTGTTAGCGTTTTATTGTAACGTTTTCAGACCACTGCTGGCCAATGCCAACACGGAGACCTGCTGAGCTACGCCGGCTACCGACCATTAGTCGTTGAAAAACCGCTGAAAAAATTGAAACTCGCTGAAAAAACTTTGAAAATTTAGTTATATTCTATGTTTATTACTACTCAAAGTTACAAATCATGTTTAAAATGCGTGATCGTCATGAGACACAACACATTGCTGGTTTAGTGTGTTAATTTCCATAATCACAGTTTAAATCACATTGCCATAATCACAGTTATAAAATCGTTTACGCGTAGCATCAATTTTTTTTTATAATTCTAACAGCTTGCTCATTTATGTAAATCGTTTTTCCAGTCGGTTTCTTAATTTTCCAATGTATTTCATTTGTTAAATGCAATTTTTATAATTTATTGCACCTGTTGTGCTCAAGTGCCTACATTGGGAACTCAAATCTACGGAATAATAGACCAGTATTTAACTATGTCATTCACATGTACCTTAGTTTTAAGGCGTTCACAACTATTTCAATAATTTAATAAACACTTAACATTTTAAACGTGTATTGAACCCCTTTCACATAAAAACAAAAAAAATTACAAATTTTTAATACTGTGTTTCATCGGGAAGAAAATTTGTTAATCAATATTTTATAATAACCATTAATTATGCCTACTGCTGATCCGGCGCGCACGACAGCGCCTGAGGCCAGTGGCGGCACCAGACATTGGTGAGGTGAATGGAGCTATGATGATTATGAATGATATTAATAAGAATAGGTTGATCAGATTTAAATGCTGACAATGAAAAAATATCTTTAGTGAGTCTGTTGTCACTGATGAGAGTAAATGGATAATTTTCTTCAGAAATAGTCTGAGCTGGTTCTGCATTCTTCACTATTGTGAGGATAATAAAAATTATGAAAAGTTAATCCCATATAATGTTATTCTGTGCTTGCAAGTTAATTTGTAATAATATTCTGCTTCACGTTTGTTTGCGAAATCTTGTTATCCGGGAAACATTACACACAGTCACTAGACTTGCTTCTGAAGAAAGTTTTCAAGGGATTCATCAGTGCATTTTTGTTCATCGCTGTGATCCTCGCAGTCTGCCTCACCGTCGCACACCACGACGGAAGGCAGGCAGCGCCCCTCGGCCTTGCACTCGAATTGTCAAGAACTGCAGCTGCCTGTTGATGGGCGACAAAACACCTATGATGGACCGAATCAGACTTGATGCAGAAAAATATGCGGCATTTACATCTCAATTCACTAGCATCAATTCAACATTAGAACACAAGTCACAGATGAAAACATAAGAATCAATATTCTATATTGCAAGGAATTGAGGCCGTCGTTGCCGTTGTCGCCGCAGTCGTCGTTGCCATCGCACACTAACCATTGCTCTTTGCAGACGCCATTATTGCACTTGAATTGCTCTGAAGTGCAGTTACCTGGGGGCACCCAATGAACATTTTACAGTAGAGCATATAATACTATACGCAATTCTTACACAAGATATTTCAATCCCAAACTCATTGGGATCAATCTTGAAGTAGACAAAAAATTAGAACTATGAAAATAAATAAATCAATGCAATCTTGAGCCAAATGATTTTTTTAGAAGCTCACAGTTTATTTCGTCACTGTAGTCGCCGCAATCGTCGTTGCCATTGCACATCGCCCATTGCTCCTTGCATGCGATGTTACTGCACTTGAATTGCTCCGAAGTGCAGTTGCCTGGTATGGAAAATATAATAAATACTTTAATAAAAAAGCTGAGCCCAATAATCACTTTATTTATATTAAAAGACTCTAATTGATGATTCACCGCTAGATTGTTTTTAAAATATATAACACACGTTTAAAAATTACTTTTTAAGGACAACACTTCTAAAAAATCCAGTGTCTCCAATGTAAAACATGTACAATGAATTTCTAATTTTAATTTCGAATACAAAAAATATTTTAATTATTTTAATACATAAAAGAAATTAAATTTTCAAAATTATTTATTCTGTCAATTGATTCATGCATTGTCTCCGACTTTACGCAAGTCTGCAAAATTTCAGATAGATTGGACAGCTATAAGTACGTTAAATATCGAATATAAGATTTGTAGCAGGCAAATTATTTTTCCACTTTTTTTTAATAATAAAAAAATTTTAATTTTTAAAATTATTTATTCTGTAAATTGATTCATGCATTGTCTCCAACTTTACGCAAGTGTGCAAAATTTCAGATCGATTGGAAAGGTAGAAGTGTGTTAGAATCGATTATAAGATTTGTAGAAGACAGACAGACAAACAGCAAGAAGTGAAGTTAAAGAAAACGGTTGTAATAATGATATGCGATTAAATATTACTTTTTAAAGACAACAGTTTTAAAGAATTCAGTGTCTCCTATGTTACACATGTACAATGAATTTCTAATTTATTACCTTATATTAAAAAAAATAATTTTTAAATTTTATTTTAAAATTTGAAAATTTGTTCGAATTTTTCAAAATCATTCGTTCTGTCACTTGATTCATGCATTGTCGCCGATTTACGCAAGTGTGCAAAATTTCAGATCAATTGGACAGGTAGAAGTGTGTTAAATATCGATTATAAGATATGTAGCGGACAAAAATTTTTTTTCACTTTTTTAATATCAAAAATAACATTTTTAAATTTTCAAAATCATTTATTGTCAATTGTTTCATGCATTGTCTCAGATTTTATGCAACTGTGCAAAATTTCAGATCGATTGTACTGGTAGAAGGGTGTTAAATATCGATTATAAGATTTGTATCAGACAGACAAACAAACAAGAAGTGAAGTTAAAGAGAAGTATTGTAAAAAAGGGATTGGATTTTACCGTTTTCTCCGAATTCTAAAACCGACGGTACAGGATCAATTGTGCCAACTAATAATCCTGAATAAGAAAAAAAAGATATTCCAAGATCAAATTTGATATTGGATAAATTAGGAGCATTGGATCTTTGAAATAATTATTGCAAACTCACAATTTATTTCATCGCTGAGGTCTTGGCAGTCTTTGATGCCGTCACAGAGCCACCCCACGTCGATGCAGTGGAGGTCGTCCCTGCACTGGAACTGTGAAGCGCTGCAGCTATCTATTGTAAAGTTATAGTAAAACCTTCTTAAGTTATTAAATTTACCCTATTGTAAAGCTATATGATAAATGACAGCGGTAGTAAAACATTCATAGAGTTGATAAATTTAACCTATTGTAAAGTTATGATAAATGACCGCGAGAGCAAAACATTCATAAAGTTTATAAATTAAACCTATTGCAAAGTTATGATAAATGACCGCGAGAGCATAACAGTCATAGAGTTAATAAATTTAACCTATTGTAAATTTTAGATAAATGACCGCGAGAGAAAAACATTCATAGAGTCAATAAATTTAACCTATTGCAAAGTTATGATAAATTACCGCGAGAGCAAAACATTCATGAATTTTATAAAATTAACCTATTCCGAAGGTATGATAAATGACGGCGAGAGCAAAACCTTCTTGAAGTTAATAAATTTAACCTATTGCAAGGTAATGATAAGTGACCGCGAGAGCAAAACATTCATAGAGTTAATAAATTTAACCAATTATAAACTTATTATAAATGACCGCGACAGTAAAATACTCTTAAAGTTTATCAATTTAAGCTCCTGCATAGCAACAAGAAGAAACTTCGTTATAGAAAACTCTGAATGTTTATAAATTTAACATGAAAATTTACCTGTATCGATTCACAAATTGGCATTAACATGTAACTACTTCGTTCAACAGAATAGATTTAACTACGCAAAAAAAACCTAACCTTAATGTCGAACCCAGAAAAAAGCGGTCAAACTCAGAATTTTGTTCGTCACTGAAATCTTGACAATCGTTCATGAGGTCACACACGTAGGTAGCAGGGATGCAGGCCGCGCCGTCCTTGCATCGGAATTGTGACGAGCTGCATTCACCTGTTGACCAGCGGCTCTTTAGCGAACTGGGGCCGTACTTCAGCCAATCACTGACGGCTTTTTTAGCGAACTGAGGCCGTACTTTAGAAATAGTTATGAGTTCGTAACTCCGTCAGCCAATCACTGACGGCTTTTAAAGCTTAACCCACCAATTACTGACGAGTAATCGGCTGGTACGCGTACTTAGCCGCTACGTGCACTAAAGCGAGTTTAGATAGTACGACACTTAGAGGCAAGCCTTGAAACAGACATCGTGGTAGCGACCAAATATGTAAATAGGGCCAATTTTATGTTTAAAAATCTGCTTACATTGTTGGGGAAAAGTTGTTCTTCATAGAAAGTTCGAGTGCAGGAAGTAAATATGTATATGTGGCCGATTTCACATTTAAAATACTCGTACTTCTGTTATCGCTGGGCAGAAGTTGCTTTTTAATGCAAGTTTTATTGAAGACCAGCGAATGAAATTAATTAGCAATTATATTGTTTGGTTTCTACAAACGGTCGAACGGTGTTTTTCGTTGGCGCATTTACCGTATTTAATCCTAAGTGGGGAAGAAAAATTTTGTTGTTCGATCTCATACGTTCATTGTAGTCGCTGATTCAATGTTCTACTCACTGTGAAGAAAACGCAATGATGGGACTTGAACTAAACAGAGTTGTCCTGTCTGGGATACATTGAAACTTATACGGAGTGCACATATACAAATAAACAGAGAAATGTCTAAATTTTTAATATACGCCCAAATAAATTTGAGAGCACGGAAAATCAATGAATAATAACATTACAGTATACTGACGTGAGTTTAAAGTCAAATAATTGTATATTAGTATAAACGTTTTCGGATGAAGAGCGATTAAATCATGTGAGTTGTTAATCAAAATGTTAACCACAGTTAACCAAAACCACACACGAATTTTTTTTAGGAGTAAAATAGAGAAAAAGAATAAATTAGGTTATTTTCAGTGATAATTGTAGTGTAACCCGAGCAGTAAAGCTCGTCGCTGCCATCAAGGCAGTTGAAGACGCGGTTGCATAGCGCATAACTACTGAGACACATGCCACCATCCTTGCAGACGAACTGGTCTGTCGTGCAACTACCTGCTCACAACCCAACAACTTCATTAGAAGTAGTTGCAAAAATGAGGATAATATTATAAATAGGGCAAACCTTTATTATTTGCAATCATCTGAAACGATTAGTAATCTACGAAACCCATTGATTACGGAACAGCCTCCCTGAAGATATTGTTGACGCTCCGAGTATGAACGCGTTCATGAACAGACTAGACAAGGCCATGCAAGAGCATATGTTTAGTCTTAAAATGCCTCGTACCCTACGGAACAACTGATATCTAGAATCGATTTTAAATCTACCGTCCGTTGAAAAGATCTGATCAAAAGGCCAGTCTAGTCAAGAAAAGCACAAGAATCGGCGACAGGCCTATCCAGGCCTATTCTTTAATGCCGAAGATGCTATACTATATTATACTATACTATACTATTGATTAGGCTTATTTAATAGAAATAGAAGGGTATGTAATAACATTAGGTGCTAAATAAGGTTAGTTTCATTCATTTTCATCTATTGCATGGGTATCTTTGCTAGGCGCATGCAGTTATACATTTGGGCATGGATAACCAAAGAACAATGACAACGGAAAAATATGTGTATTCATTTATTATTGGCAATTTGGCTGCTTGGGAGTGATTAGCTATTATCTAAACCCAAGATAATTCCGTACAAGAACTATTACTCTATATGCATACCATTTAAGTCTTAATTCTAAGAACTCAGGGCAGGCTATAGCAGAAGAAAACTTCATCAAAATAATATGAAATTTTCAGACAGCGTCAGGGGGCTTCTTTTTGAAGAATATATTGCATAGCAATTTATATACTGACTTAAAACCGATATGTCTAACTCATAATAGCTTAACTGCTGCGTCTTGATGGCCTTTTCTTTATGAAAGCTAGGTTTAAACCACACCCATAATTTTTACAACGCAAATGGAACCGGGCAGACAATTTTGGGAGATTTTACAATCTTAGGTTTCATATTTATACAATTTCTTCTCTTAAGTTTCATATATGTAAAACGTATAATCTTAATTTCGATATATTTACAAATTTGATGACTCACAGTTCAGTTCATCACTATAGTCGCCACAGTCGTTGTTGCCGTCACACAAGTTCCACTCGTGGATGCACATGCCGGAGGTGAGGCACGGTACATCGTAAGTGCTGCAGGTACCTGCACGGTTATTAAGGGGAGCGTCTACCCCAAAATTTATCTCGGCTATTTACAAACGGATCATTCTGAAACTTGGTACACATATGTAAAATGGAAAAAAACTCACATTTTGTTCGTGTGAATTTTTCAAAAAAAATGAAAAAAAACGTGAAATTCATAGAATACGGTCAAAAAAGGGGTACTTTTGAAATCTATCTCCTCCTGGGATTTTCAAGCTACGACATCGAGACACATATTATTCGATGCGTAAAATCGTTATCTATAAAACGACCTAGCCGTTTTTTGAATTTCTAACTTTTGCGGGTGTGGGAGCATTTTTTGTAAAGTTTTCGGAAATTTTTCGATTTTACCCATTTCCACCCCCCCTTTTTCAGGAATAAAATCCGAACTATGACGAAATTGAAAAAACGGCTAGGTCGTTTTGTAGATCTATGCTTTGCGAATCGAATGGTATATGTTTCATTGTTGTAGCTTCAAAACTCTAGGAGGAGATAGGTTTTCCGTGACAATAAGTGTGAATGTTGAGGAGAGAGCGACAAAGTCCCGCGCGCACCACAATATGCGCTCATACCGTTGGATAGGGCAGAATGTCAGCTTTAAAATTAGTATGAAAACCGAAAAAGTAAAAATTTTCAATTTTAGGGTAGGCGCTCCCCTTAATCTTAGTTGTGAACATTATAATTAAATAAAGATTAAAAAATTCTTTCAAACGAATTCTGGAAAAACATTCGAAAGTTATTTAAAATATTACTGGCATGGAAAGAATAAATCTTTCAAAAAGGACGAACAATATTGACTGGGAAATGACATTACAAATATCAACGTATTAGTACTTTGATTAAAAAGAACAATAAATGTCTCCAGAATTTTTTCGTGCTCTTTAACAGCAATCTTGTTAACACGATGTATCGATGTAGAATTACCGGCATTTCTCTATCTGTTTTTGTACTGAACACACATATTCGTGAATTGAGATGAAATGTGCCGTGCGATATGTGAAACCGTACCTGCAGAAAATTGATCATCATTCTGATTACAAATAAAATCATTGTAAATTTAATGTTTTCGACATTTGAATGAATTCTGTTCAAAATTAATTCTATAATTTAAATAATGCGCTTTGATTTATTTAACAAATTCAGAGGCCTCAGTTTTTTAGATATTTTGCGTTACAATCTCAATAGTGAATTATCAAACTTTCAACTGAATAACAGTGGGTTTAGCATTCATTCATATTCATTCACATGAATGTATTAATTTCAGTTCTCGCAGCCATTTGCACTCAACCTTAATTTAGTCCTGTCTATATAATGTTTTAAACCATAATCTCTCACAGTTCTGCTCATCGCTGTAGTCGCCGCAGTTGTTGTAGCCGTTACACACGCTCCGCTCGTGAATGCACATGCCATTGTTCTGGCACACGAACTGGTCAGTGCTGCATGTCCTGAAAATGAATTATTTGGTAAATTAATTAATGAATTAATGCAACAATATGCGAATATTCTTGAACCAGGCGTCATTTCTAGCCGTTCTTATCCTTTTTCGTTTCTTTTCTTTTATTTTCTTATCACTGTTGAACTTAAGTGTTAACGTACCCTCGAAGTTTGGTTGAACTATACGCCACGACAATCGCTTCGCGGAATAACAATAAGATTTCCAATCACAAATAGGCCAAACCTTGAATTCAATTGCTCACTGAAATTCTAGAATTTAGTATATCGAAGAAAAATGTGTCGCTATAAAAATAACTTATGGTAAAACCAGCTTAAAATGGCTATTAATTTCGAGATGATCAAAACTACAGACAGCCTCGCTCGTCACTGTAGTCTCCGCAGTCATTGAATCCATCACACAGCTTCTTATTATCCACACACACTTCGTTGTCGCATTTCGTCTGTTCCGATCGAGGTGCAGTTACCTGCCAGAACATTGGTATTATAGTATGCAAATTACATATCAAAACTGTCGGTTAGAGTTTAAGCTGAACATTGCCAATTGATTTGTATCTCGTTAACTCACATTCTTTGATTCAGACAAGATTCATGTCTGTCGCCAATTAAATGCCCCACCGAAATAGAGAATAGATCTACCGATTGTGTTCTGTGTGAGAAATTCGAGATAACAAAATAATACAACTTTTTCTTATACGTTTTTATAATTCGTTTACATCTGTCAATGATTTGTGACCGGCGGCAATCGTGGTCTCTAACACAATCTGAAAAACTAAATAAAAAGTATGAATCTGAATATAATAACATAGTTTCTGAGCAGCACAACGTACCAAGACATTAGGGTTACGAGATGACCATTAAAATGGTCGCGTCCGTCATATTCTGCATGCAAAAACCTCAAAATCAACCTATTGACGTTGGTACAGTATAACACCCTGGCTCCATTGACGTTTACATGTCCACGTTTGTACCGCAAACTCCTTGAACTGTTCAGGATGTTACACGTTAGGAGAATTTGGTGAATAGTGATGTTACATGATGTTTTTGGTGATGTTACATGTTTGGTGAACACATTTTCCAATTCAACTGCCACATGAATACTGCTTTAGGAATACTGTTTTACGAATAGATTCTTTGCTCGTGACTATAAACCTATTACTATTATAGTGTTACTGTGACTAAACCTAAGTAACGTAAACCACGACTACCTTCACTTAAATCTAATACTATTAATATAACCAAAACCAAATAATATTAGCAGAGCTAAAACCGAGAACAAGGTTACTATAACCTAAACAATAACCTGAACTATAACCTAAACTATAACCTCAACCCTCCCAGGTCGAGCTTCTGGCTTGTCTGGGGCAGCTACATGGCTCCGTTACCGGAAGCTTGTCATTGGTCCTGCGTTTGCAGCTACAGCCTAAATTATAATGTGAAGCCTCAAATATCTAGATAACTCAAATAAAAATCATATTTAAAGTTTTATTATTCATTCACTATTCACACCTAGTTACTTTAGTCGGATTCCGTTCCGGTGTTCTTTAAATAATGTTTCGAGAGTTACATTTCGATTACGCCTTATCCTAGTGGATAAATTCCCGTTCGGACCAAGTCGATACCTAAATAACATTACTAAGTTGATACAATTTTGGGGTAAGTAATTGTTATATTTCTAACAAATATAATGCATTTTGTTATGCTAATAGAATCGCTGTAGTCAAAGCAATCGTTGATACCGCCGCACATCCATGCTTTGGAGACGCAGCGTTTGCCATCCTCGCATCAGAACTGATCTTCGCCAAAGCGACCTGCAAAATTTTCTAAATTACGTAGTGAACATCAATAATCTGGCATTTATTTGTCAAAGTTTGTTTGTGTGGTTGAAGCCTATCGACGTAAATCTATTTAACCTGTTTTTACAGGTTTTTCTTTAGTTAGCATGCCTTTTATTCTTACTGAATGGATTGAGGAAAACGAAAGTCTTATTTTGCACAAATGTTCGATCAATTCTTTTTATTGAGACTATAATGCATTGAGTTCAAAAAGGAAGAGAAATAGTTCACGCTATTACAATCGTATAAATGTTATATCTTATTTATTTATGGACATTTAATTATTAAAACTTGATACAAATTTTTAACATACATGTGATTCTTCGGTCTGATCGTAATGTAATAGAAATTATTTGGAACGTGGATTTTCGATAAACCTCAAAAATAATCTTAGATCTCGCTTCTGCAGTACTATGTTTGCGTGCTTTAAACCTTTTACCGGATATGTACTAATATGTCAGTATTTTATGAGAATGATATTATTAATGATGGATTCTGCTAAATTAGGAACTAAGAGGAAAAGATCGATCTGAAATCCAGAGATGATTTTTGTTTTGTTAAGTCTAAGTTTTATTCAGAAATTATGAGATCACGTTAAATTTTATGAAACAAGACTTGAACAGGAAATCCGTGATAAATGTGGGTTTTGCCATATTTGTTTTTTATAAGAGACTTTCAAATGTTCACTTCATTCGGGATGATTGGGCTCTGGTGACAGGAATCACGATCATGGGACTTAATTTAAATTATCGAAGAGATTTGTGAGCTCGAGTGATTCCAATAGAGTGACAACTAAAATAATACATTATGTAAAAAATTTGTATGCAATTTGAAACTCTGCTGCATTGACTCATCAGAACCTTCTATGAACTGAAATAGTTAGCTGAAATTTCCACATAAAACACACATTCAAGAAAGTTCATCCTTTTTTGTAGCGTTCGTATTTTCACGCATGCATCACGTTAATTCTATCATAATACAATACTTCGCTGTCGTCGCAGCTCATGCGGAGCGAGATAGAGATAGCAGCATCCGTTCACAGTCTTGGTGTCGTTTATCAAAACTGATTCGGGATGCAAGTACGTCACAGCTTCTCCAGAGATCGCAAACGGAATAAAAATTTACGTGCTCCTGTACGATTGCAAACGCGTCTGATGTTGTCTTATAGCAACCTATTTTGTTTCTGAGTTGCAATTATTGATGTCCTTTCAGCGATACTTTTGTTCAAACTTATCTCTATTTTCTCTAAGTTATCTCTAAGTTATGAGAATTTTGTGGTTATCAGGTCTCGGTTCGGGCGGAAACTCTCGCTGTGGTGGCGCGCGATAAAATTTAGCTTTGCCCGCAGTCTTGTCCCAAGCAAGCGTCAGAGGCGGCCTTATTCTGACGCCTCTTCGTTAATACGAACGCGGGTCTTAAAAGTGATCAGGAATTAAATTTGATTCAACTGTTTGCAGCATTAGAAATACGTTCATTCCGGGATTTATTTCGAATGCAGCAAAGAAAATTTAAATTCTACGCTTATAATTTTTTCAAATATTAATATCGCTTGATTTCTTAAATAGCAAATTCGCTTGAAACTTAAAACTTAGAAAATTACACAAAATTTTGTGTACATTTGTATTCGCATTTAAATTTATATTTTTTCCTACGCGTGTACATGAGCTCAAGAATAAAATAAAGGTGTGACTCTGGAGTTACTAAAAATTCTTTATATGAATCGAAATAATTTCTGACCATGAGATCTGTTGATCATTTGTTTAAGTAAAGTTGATTTGGCGTAAATGAATGAATTCTGGTCTTTGGACACGTGAACAAGAACAAGAATTTTTCAATCATATATTCTCATGAATTTGAGTTTGGTGCTGTTTCGATATATATAAACTGCATGAAAAATTTCAAAATTTTGTAACAGGCCATTCGTTTTTCTGATTTATTTCCCTTCCTTGAACTTCTACTACTGAATCTTGAACTATATATTGTTTTCATGGCCTTATACATTTCAAGATATTCCTCATGTTTTGTTTTATAATGTTGGAAAGCAGAATTTTTGCAAATTATTGATTCTTTCACATATTGCAATGCCAATCATATAATGCGGAACTGATTCGTTATTAACCATCGCGATTATCTTCAATCAATACTTTTATTATACTGTTTTAGCTTATTCACAAAACACATAAAATTTCATTTTAATATCAATACTTCAATTGAGTTGAAATTATGTTAATAGTCCTAAGAGTATAACCATTCTTCAATAAAAGTATCAGTGAAGACCGCAAGTTACACGCGTGACGTCATCAGAGCGACGGGATGAGAGTGCCTGAGAAGGCGCTGTGCCTGGCGCTGCTGTGCCTCACGGCCGCAACGGCGCAGTCGCCTGCTGCTGATCAGGCGTGCGCGACAACGTTTGGGAACAGTGCCGGCACCAGTCACTGGTGAGGGGAATGAAGTCATAACTATTATGAATGGCATTGATAAGAACAGGTAGATAGGATTTGAATGCTGGAGTTATAATATCTTTGGTTGTTTGGTAGCAGAAGTTATTAGAGCGAGGCACAGTGACATGCAAGGTAACGCATGTCATAAAGAATAGGTCATTATTGAAATAACATTGAATTAGAGGCCGCTGGCACCAATAAGTGAGTGGTATAGTATTTGATAGAAAAAAAATCTCAATGATATTTAATGTTGGTACCAAATGTCAATCTAACTTGACAGTCTGCCAAAACCACATATACAACTCATGAAATAGAGGAAACAAGTTCAATGAAGTCTCATACGTTAACCACATTTAGTCGAATTGCTTTAAGAAATAAAACTGGGTAAAACATTATTTATAGCCCGAATTAAAATATCCAAAACTACCAATGATGTTTCTGAAATAGTGACCAAGTCACGTGACCAATACAGTTCGTGTATTTCAGGAAGCAATAGTGTAATTTTAGAAATAGAATTCACTGAACACAATATTGACCGAACTATTTCATGAAGCAATAGAGTAATTTCAGAAATATAATTCACTGAACACAATATTGGCTGAACTATTTCATGAAGTAATAGAGTAATATCAGAAAAATAATTCACTGAACACAATATTGACCGAACTATTTCATGAAGCAATAGAGTAATATCAGAAATATAATTCACTGAACACAATATTGACCGAACTATTTCATGATGCAATAGAGTAATTTCAGAAATATAATTCACTGAACACAATATTGACCGAATTATTTTCTCCAACTTTGCATCAGGTGCCCGGGCTCGTGCACGACATGGCGGAACCAGTCCTACTCCGAGGCATACGGCGGGGGATCAGACGTTACAGGGACTTTAATTTATGACGGGGTGAGAGAAATTAACAGCATGGCAGCAATGATATGCTTTCAGTCTGAAGAAAATGCAATTCCTAGCCAATCAGTCAATCACATACAAGGCTTTTCGGAATTTCGGGAGAAGTCTGGTTTTGATATTTCAAAAGGTCACTAAAATCTTGAACGTATAGGCACAAATTTTATTTTCTCGTGTCTGTGGTTACTATATATTACTTTTATCGATTTATTTATCACTGTTTTCCAATTATTATTTTCATTTTGTTCAGTAGGGATATGAATTTATGGATGGCGTTTTACAAAAGCGTTTGCCAAGGTTGGAAAAGAGACAATTTTATTGGCCCATTTACTGAAAAGTAAAGAGTTTATGTCACTAAGGCACGGGATACTTGAAGTTAAAATATCAATCATGTTCGGATGTAAAATTATGGTCGGATATTGAGGTTTTAATTCCATTATTTGATCAATCAGAGGGTTAGATTTGGGATGGTGATTTTCGATATCGAAACAATTATCCCAATAGTGAACATGATTTTTATCCTTATAGCACTTTATTTGTTTCATGAATTTGCAAGCAAAAATCGATCCCTGAGCGCAATCACAGAAATTCAAAGTGAACGCAGCGTCGTTGGAAAATTGGCGTTCCACGTCTGCGAATAAGGTTTTAAATAAAAATGTAACATCAGTATTATTATTATTTACTTATTATTTACAACTATTATGTTTCTCTAAAATGTTTCTTAGTCGGCCTGTCATGCAGTTGCAAAAGACAATTTCGTTCATGTTAGAACCCACGGTAAGACATTCAACTTTGTAACTGCTGCTCTGACCGAGCTGAACGTGGCAGAGCTCCCCGGTGTGTCTGGCCGCCCTCCACGCCGGCGTCTTGCGGGCCGGGGAGGACAAGGCGGTCGCCTTCACATCTGCGACGGCCACCGACAGCTTCGTGGGCACAATCCGTAATCGCGTTGTGTCGAAATACAAGGATAACCCGGGAGCTGGGTGCGAGAGACAGAGTCTCTCACCACTGCGCCACACAGCTCTCTACCTTTTATTACGTTGACCTGTAACCTGATTCAGTTCTTCCTGGTAGTTCTGATTGTCGACAATGCCTTCCGTTAATAGTTGCATTCATCAGCCACTGTGTTTGCATGGCCTCATCTTTTAATAATCGCAACATTTTGCTGAGGAAGCACAATTAATATTCCTTTATACATCGGCCGTGGCTCACCTCTTCTCTGTTTAACAAGTTTACTAATAAGTTGATGCATTTGTAAAAGTGAATAAATTTATTCTGAAGCCGAGCACTTCATCTTTCCTACTCCGTTTAATTATCGTTCAGAATATAGAGGTACCGTTTATCGTTATAGAGAGGTACAGTTTTAGCCGTTGACTTACTAGCTCGATATTTATTAGTAATTAGTGATTGATTATATAGTTTTAGCTGAAGACCTAGCCCGATATATATTAGGAATTATTGATTGACCATATAGTTGTAACTGTTGGCTTAACTCGATATTTATCAAGAATTATTGATTGATTATATAGTTTTAACTGTTGACTTAGCCCGATATTTATTAGGAATTACTGATTGACTATAAACTTTTAACTGTTGACTTTGTCCGATATTTATTAGGAATTACTGATTGATTATATAATTTTAACTGTTGACGTAGCCCGATATTTATTAGGAATTACTGATTGATTATATAGTTTTATCTGTTGACTTAGCTCGATATTTATTGGGGATTACTGATTGATTATATACTTTCAATTAATGTTTGAGATCAATTACTGTCGCTCAGCTCTAGATAAATTTGAATGAGTAAGAAGGCAAATCTTCCGAGTTCCTGAACTTTTGAAAATATTCGTCATAGAACATTTCTTTTGACGCTTATTCTCTTCGTTATTTTCATTTTAATTTTCTTGGCCTGGTAATTCTGAGTGAAGAGTTTTGTCTTCTTAATCGGAAAACAATAAATGAACGATGTCTTGATACGTGGATTAATTATTTTCCGGAAACGACTTCTTTTGCTGTCTGCGCAAAAATTTTAGTCGGCGACGTTTTCTATTCCACGTTATTTTGAGCCAATTCTTCGACAGTTTAATCCCTGAACGGTTAACACGTAAAACGATAATTGTCAATTCGATTAGATGCAATTGAGTAATTTGGGAATGACCACATATAATAATTCAAACATTTATTTGATAAAATCATACAAAAATTTGGCTGTGAAATTTGTAGAACGTTTTGTAATGCGGTATCCTTTGAAAATCGCTAAAACTATCGTGAAATTGTCTTAATAACAAAATTCATCCAATTATGTCCGCTTTACTCAGTTAAATCATTGTGATAATAAATAAATTTTCATCGAATGCGCAATTAAATTTTGACATTGATGATGTTCATCGTCATTAAATAATTCTGTTAAATTTCTCCGAGGTTGCCCGAAGCATCGCTTTGGCATCGCCTGTGCCCAGTGGTGCCCGGACTGCCTCAACTCTGGGGAATGTCATCCCCGCTCTGGGGAATGCGTGTGCGCTCCCGGCACATATGGGGACCGCTGCCAATACTGTGAGTGATGCCATCAGGCACATTATTATATATTATTTTATTATGGCGTCATCTTGAACCAATGTTGCTAATTTGTTATTAATGCCAAAATGCAATATCTGAGAGGTTGCCGGTCATTCTCCTAAGATAACGCCTCAAGAATTGATGTTTCCTGGTTTAAAGATGTATGAAATTCGGATAGGAATTTTTCTAGTATATGAACGATTTTCTAGCAAAGAGAATTGACTTACTTATTCCAATTAGAAAGATTCTCAAAATGTTCTGTACCAAGTACAAAAATCATCAAATCATCAGATGCAAATCATCAGATCAAATAAATCCAGTCTTTCTGAATTTCCAGACTGCCCCAGAGACGGATATGGAGAAGGTTGCAGGAGGGACTGCTCTGCACAGCACCTGCGCTGGTCATCCACGCCGTCTTGCGCGGGGCTCACCTTCTGCATCCACGACCCGAAGGGCTGCTCCTGCCTGCCTGGATACCAGGCGCCCAACTGCGACTCTGGTCAGGGTGATACGGAGAGAGCAGACGCATTTAATTTTGATTTGCATTCTGTCTTTTAAAGAAATTTGGACTGAGGATAAATATTTGTTGCTCAACTGCATCATTGGGCAGAAGAACATTCTTTTGAATAACTCAATACAAAAATTTTTCTCCTACTAACGCATGAAATGTGATGTTGAAGAAATGTTTGTTACCGAACTGCAGGTTTAGCAATTACACTAAGTTTAAATAATCTGAAACCAAAGCTAAAGGGGAATCAATGAAAATTCAAAGTTTCTCCGCAAATATTTAGCACTCGAGTATAATTCACAAGAAATCATAATAAGTGCGTAATTTTTTCGCGGTTATGCCAATTGCGCCTCAAGACAATAGATTTGGTTCAGCAACAATTTTGAATATATGTTTTGAATTTCTTCACCCCTGTTATTTGTATTCAATTTACAACCAACACGTTTAGATCTCGGGACTCGTTAGGTCAAATTTGGTCATTTGGCGTACTTTAGTGTCCAGTGTCAATATTACGTCTCATTCTATTCATTATAATTGAGACGCCTGATTGACACCGGACATTAGCATGAACATTAACAACCTATTTTCATGTTCAGAATCCCTTAACTGCTTTATTAAATCGTGCATAATATGATGCCCAGCAAGTAAAAATTTACAAGACATATTGTATTATGTTTGCGGACAAAGTATGATGGTGCCTCATCGATAAAAAATCGTTCCGAAAATTGTTAAAAATAAACGAACTGCAAATTGGTTGCCATTTAGCAACCAATACAAACCACTCATGTCTGACGCAGCTACATTCAACTTGTCAATAATACAAAACATACAGCTTGTCATTAATACAAAACATACAACTTGTCATCAATACGAGACTTTTACGAAACGCAAATATGCTACAATTTTGTTTTTCCCAATGAAACGAACGCAGAATTTTTAATTCATTTCCACCTCCATTTTTCTAACATTCTACGACACACTCATTTTTCCTTTCTTGGGATAGATGTAAATATTTTTATTCAAGATCCTAAAGTAGTAGGATGATGTATGAACCCCAACACAGAGTGTCCCCGGGGGCGCTACGGCCCCGACTGCGCGCTGTCCTGCCGCTACTGCAAGGACGGCGTCTGCGATGCCGGCGACGGCAGATGCACGCACGGCTGCCTGGACCCTGCGCTCTGCGATGCAAGTTCGTGTCTATAGTACAAGTTCAAGTAATTTATTCCTTTGTTAATAGTAATTTATCCTCCTGTTTAGAAATAATGGAGTTATCGGTTCTCAAGTTCCACCAGTGCCTTATTTTACACATTGAAGAAAGATTTTATACGTATATGTAGGAGAGAATGTTATCGTCTGCAGAAAATTTCCAACAATATCAGTTGTAAATTATCCAGCCCCTGATGTCTAGCCATGTGAGCGTTGATAATAAATAATTGCGAAATACTCCGAATGAGCACATTTAAAGAATGAGGAAATAATAAATAAAATAACCACTGACATTTTACGGCGAGCGTCACTTCCGAGTCTGGACATGCCTCCAGTAGCCTGCAAATCCCTGTACTCATAGGGTGCGTTCCAACGTCCGTGGAAGCTGTACCTACCTTGCGTCTTTTTCCTCTCGTCCATGAGAAGGAAATTCTAATATTGCTCTACGGAACCATTATATTTAAGATTCATACATACAGTAAATATCCTGACAGAACATAGAGTGAGAGAGATGAAAAATATAAAAATATGGAGCCTTACAAAAATATTCTTGTAATCAATATACTTTGAGCGACTCACATTTGATAGATATAACACATTTGTAAATGCTAATTGTAGAAATTATTTTCGATTTAAAATGTCAGAACACAAATTCATAAAATTAAATCATTTATAGTATTTATTGTAATTACAAGACATCATGACATACAAGACATCATGTCAAACTAATCTAGTATTTTAAATTTCTCGTTATTTTTTAATGTTTAATAAAAAATGTTCAACATGCTATGCAACGCTAGGTAGCCGCCCCCTGAATTTGCCGCGGTTCAGGGCCCCAGCCGGGCTCAGCTGCAGCAACACCGCCTGCGCCGTGGCGCTGCGGGCCTGGTCGCCCCGCTACGACGAAGGGACGCTGGAGCCTGGCAACCATGTTACGGGGTGAGGCTGATGTGTAGACCAAAGTCCATTTATAAAACGACTTTCATTTTAAGCCACTTACAAAAATTAACGAAAACTACCTGCATTCAATTAGAATGTTCTTAGGTCTTACGAGTGAATCGTAATTTGTACGAGTTAATTAAAAATTACTTCTAACATCCGGAAATCATTTTTTTCTGAACAAGAAAATGGCGCTTTCTCCTTTCTCATTCCTGCCGAATAGAAATAAATTCATATTATCCAATAATTCAACGATCAATGCCAGCGTTGACTGGTACACGCTGATTGAAGCTTAACACTGATCAACGAGGCTGAAAATATTGTTTAAGCAGTTGTAAATCATCATTGACTTTCAGTACACTGCAGTGAATTACAATCAAAAGTAATGCCACGTCGCCCTTTGTGATGGCGCATAAATTCTCCACTTCTTCTTTCATCAGATATCGCCTCCAGGTCAAGAGTTTAAGCAGTCCGGATGGCGAGTGGAAGACTACTGAATTTGCTATTTACTCTACCGGTGGGAAATTCGAGAACTTTTATATAATATATTATTATGATATCTATTCACCAAATGCGGAGATAATAAATAGAACCTAAAGGCTTTCGACTCACGATATGAATTTTACTATAGTTTTATTAATGATTCAATTTATTTACTGTTTGTAGAAATATATGTTTATTACAAGTAGCCATTGTGAATATTGCTTTCGTCGTCCATATTTTATCTCGTCCTTAGTGAAGTAGACGT